ATTGTCCTTAACTTTTCTCGTAAAATTCTAAATGGATTGAGCTGAAATTTTGTGGGGAAATTTAAAATACGATAAAGAATGGTTGTGAAGCACGAAAATATTAATATATTGTTAAATTGTAGCCGACTTTTTCACAAGTATGATTGCTTATTTCAGTCGCGTTAAACCTAGGTTATCAGAAAGTGATGAAATTAGTTATATCCATAGAAATCTTCTTTCCACATTAAAAATTGTAATTCCTAGACACAATCTCTTCAGTATTGTTCAATTTCAAGAAATAAAAATTTTGATTGAAAAAAGTTATTCCGTTGGTAAATCTTACAAATCTCCTCTACCTCCTGAAAAATAACTTTTACCAGATTTAGCGTATGTAGATTCCTATCGGTTTAGAAATTGAGTCCCGAAAGAATTGATTAATCTTGTTGATGAATTATTATGAATTTATTTGAATTAAAGCAGAAAATAAAATTTTTAATTTCTTTAAAGAAAAAGATTTAATTAATTTTTCAGAAAATTGTGAAATTTAAGATAAAATCTTGATAAAAATTTCGCTGCTTTATCTATCGAGAAATTTCCAATGAGTTACCCCCCTCTCCCTAATTATCCAAAACTTCCATTAAAAACCCAATTTTACGGGAAAACTTTGTTTCTCCCCGTAAAACTCAAAAAATCCCTTCACTTCTCGATTTAAGAATAGAAAGACCTTTGGGAGTAACCCAAGCAAGTTTGAATTGATTGAAGAGAAATGGCTGGAAGGAATGTTAAAGATGCTACAATAAGAGCCATTTTCTCAAAGATTGTCCTATACTATACGATTTTCCAATTTGTTTCAATTGCGGAAATTGGTTTAATACCGTCAAAGAACTGCGATGTTTTTGCGGAAGACTTACCACAAATATGGTCCTTATACCTCCAGATAGAAACTTAATGTACCTTACCTTCTATAAAATTTTAACTGAATCCATTCAGTATTTTACGAGAAAAGTTACGAACAAATTAACATTACATACCTTACAGTTACATAACCTTAAACATTGTTTAAACAATCGTATTTTACAATATACATATATAAAGTGAAATATTTTTGCTGGCTGAATATGAAAGTCAATAAATTAAATTAGTTATTAAATTTTCTTTTTTTTATATTTGTATTAGAGAATAAATGAAAATAAAAGTTATAATTTTACTATCGAAAAAAAAGTTTTTGGCATTTCATACTTGTTAATTTGTTAAGTTAATGGATTATTTTATATAATTAAAAATAATGAATAAATATTGTCTTACTTCACAATTTTTGACACAAATTTAAGCAATTATTATACAATAAAAAATTATTGTATGAAATCAAATTGAATAGAATTTTATTTTAATTTAAATTAAATCATATTTAAATATAAATAAAATTGAAAATAAAATTCTAGAATTAAAATAAAAGAATAATATTATGATGTTATTAAAATGTTTCTTTAAATTTTTAAGTGATTTAATTACACTTAAATTCAATTTAAAAAATTACAAAAAATACAAATCACATCAACAGAGAATCCTAGCCCTGCTCCTGTGACCCAGAGCCCAGACTTGACTAAGAGAGTAGAAAAATCAAATCTGCCAGGTACTACCCCAGGACCTAGTGACTTTTCGGACCAGGACAACTTGGAGAGTGAGGTGGTGGAGGATCAGGATCTTCATGCAACAGACCAGAAAGTTCTAATTGACCCGTTATCAGGGCTATCACCTGATGACGCCGCCTTATTAGGGACTGGAACTGCACCTGGAGTCAATAATGATCCTCTTCCTATAGAGCAACAAATAACGACTCCTCTGCCGAGCAATGTAACCAATGATCCAACTGATTTCATTATGAAGTCATTTGATGCTGTTAATCAAAACATTGAACTTGTCTACAAGTCCGTGAATGACCTTAATCAATTAGAGAAGAAAGTAGATGATATGTCTACTATGTTAAAGGACTTGGTGTTGATCATCGGGAATATGTCTACAACTCAATTTAAGCTTAGTGAGCAGCTAGAAGAAGTTAAGACATGCAACATGCTGCTCCAGACTGAAATCTCAACCTTCAGATCTGTTATTGTCACACAAAAAGAGACTATGCCTGTACCAAAAGATTCAGCAAGAACCGAAGAGTACAGATAATCCTGCTGCTCTAGAGTATCAAACATGGACTGCTGGGGAACTTGTCTCAAGAAACGTGATTAAGGAAGAAGCTAGAAACACCTTCCTATATGCTGTTCAGAGTGGAGACCCTTCGGCAGCTTATCAGGCTTTTAAGGTTCTAACACGTAATCGATCCCCAACCAAGTACGAGATAGATACCATAATGGGTTTCAACTGGGCAGATCGGGATGCTGCATCAGGATATTATGCATTCATAGGGAGGGTGATAATTGGAAACAACTATCACCCATCTGATCCTAAGCTATGTTTCCACTGTAAAGTTTCAGAATGCAAATGTGGAAAGCCTTGTGATGTTCCAACGCCTGAAACTTCAGATAGTCGTCCTGTAACAGCATGTCGTGTCATTTTCTGGCAGATACGTTAATTTTAATTCAAACGTATCAGAAAAAGATAAGATATCTAAAGTATACGGTCTGGTGGACAGAGCAGTTTGATTCTCTAATGTTAAATTTTATGAACAAAATTGTAAATGAATTAAAATCTTTTTTTGAAAACATTTATAGAGACTATGATGTTAAAGTCGTTTTCTCTTATGAAAAAGATCCCTTTAAAGTTTTTTCAAAAAATAAAGACATTACAAATTTCCAATATAGGAATCACGTTGTTTATAACATTCCATGTCAATGTGGAGCCTGTTATATTGGTGAAACAAGTAATTACATTAAAGACAGAATCTATCAACATAAAAGAGACTGCAGACTTGATAACAGAAGTACTGCTTTAGTCATTCACGCACATGACCAAGCCCACACAGCACAGTATATTGCTGTAAGCTTACCTCAAGCTTACATGTAATTTTTGTAAGATAACCCTGTAAGCTTCAGGTAAGGTCGAGGTAATATAAAAATGACCGCCATACAGTAAGCTTTCACAGTAAGACCATAGTAAACTTACATGGCAAAGTCACTGTAAGGTTACAGTAAGCTTACACGGCAAGTTTTCAAAGGTATCAATAAATAATTTTTTTATAATATTTATGCGCAGTAGCTTACTATGGCACTTACGAATGCGCAGTAAATTTTTTTAAGCAAACCCTACCGGGTTTTTTTATATAAATGACAAAATAAATATAATTGTGCAAAACAATTTATTGTTTACTGTAAGTTGATAAATTAATACTTTGTTATTTGTTAGCAATTAATATAAGCTTACCGTGTATAACCTTACAGTGATCTGACCGTGTAAGCTTACAGTGACCCTACCATGTAAGCTTACCATGTAAGTTTACCATGGCATTACTGTGTAAGCTTACTGTATGGCGGACATTTTTATATTACCTCGACCTTACCTGAAGCTTACAGGGTTAGCGTACAAAAATTACATGAGGTAAGCTTACAGCAATATATTGTGTTGTGTGGGAGATCACAATTTCCGGTTTGAAAATACTGAAATTATTTGCACAGAATTGAATCACAAAAAAAGATTATTTAAGGAGATGTTTCACATTTTGAGAAATAGTAATTCAATTAATAAAAAAACTGACTTAAAATCTTTAAATCAAATATACCACTCTCTTATTGTAAATACTAATTAATATTGGTTGTAATATAATAATATGATGATAATATAGTAGTATGGTGTTTTAACATTGATTGTATTATAATTAATAATATAATTGATGTTAATGCTGCTGTTATTGATTTTTAATTATTATCATTGATATTGTTATTATTGTTATTTTAACTTAATTTTGAATCACACGCACTAAAGTGATATAGTAGATCACTCAGTTATCAACTCATGTGAACATTATAGATTTTGCATTATTAATCATACCCATAAATGATAAAACAGATTTTTAATTTCTTAACAAATTTAATTTCTTTTAAACTTATATTAGTATTATTTTCCTATTACAATTTTTAATTATTTTTTTATTTAAAATTATTAAATGAGAGTGAAAATCCATATTGGTGAGTTTAAGGTTATGTTTAGCAGTTTAATTAAATTTTATTTTTATAACAAACTCAAAAAATGTAAATTTAATTTTAGTATTTAAATCTGATGAGGCCCGACGTTGACGGGCGAAAGCTCATTTAATAAGAATTTTAAAAATAAAATGTGGATTTTTTACCAAAAACAACTAACATCTTGACTAAATTATGTAAATCCAAAAAAATTATCATCTATACTCATATAAAAATTATTTATTTATATATTTTGTATAGAGGTATTATAAAAATTTTTAACATGTTGGTTCTTAAAAATATTCCGATTTAAATAAATCTCTATAGGGATTTTCAAACAAATGCACAGTTTTTTAAATATTCTTTTTTGTTTTAAAAAATAATTTTCACATTTCTAATAATATTAAAAAAAACGATGAATTTATTTTAAAATTCCTGTAGTGAAGATGTTAAAAATAATTTTCTTATGTTATATTTTATTTTTTTTTTTTGATGTAATTTTTCATTTTTGTGAAAATAAATTTTTCAAATTTCATCGATAAAAACAAAGAAATAAAAAAAAAGTTTAAATTCCCCATAAAAAAAATCAAATTTAAATAAAAATTTTTTCTTAAACAAATGCAAAAATTTTTAATAAATGTGATAAAAAAATATTTTAATCATTGAATCATGTTAATTCAAAATGGCTTCTCTATTATAAAACCCAAAGAATGTGCTTTTAAAATCATCACTATATAACTATATATATATATATATATATATATATATATATTCAAATATATGAAAACGAAAAAATAAAAATAGAAACAATTTTTTTCGTAACAAAATAAAAACTACTTTTAAACGATAAAAATATAATTTATAAGAAAAAAAAATTTTTTCAACAAAAGTACATACCATTAACCTGTAGATCTATATATCCAGGTGATATTAAAGCATCTTGACAATCAATTATAATTTCAGGAATAATTTTTTCGTCATAAAATATTTTTTCTGGATCAATGATTTTTCCATCGCGAACCCATAAGTCTTCCTTTAATATTTGACCATTTCGTAAAATTTTACAATTACAAAATTGTTTAAGTGATTCACTCTTGTTCGACATTTTTTTTTTTTTTTTTTGTTTTAGTTAAAAAAAATTTTGCGTACAAAATATAAAATAAATTATGAAAATAACACAATTTACTGTAAATTTTACTAATTATGTAAAATTTTAAACTAAATTTTTAATCAACATGATTATAATTTATAAATGTCGCAGCAAAAATTGACTGCTTACGTGAGAAATGGTGAAGAGCAAATGAACGAGTCAACAACAATAGAGCCGGGTGGAACACAAGGAAACCGCGCCAACCGGCATTGCGTGGTTTTATTTTAGTTCTAATTCAAAAAGGCCGACACACATGAAGATTGTAATAGGGTTCATTTCCATTGTCCCCACTCGCCATTTCTCATTTATTCTCGTCAATTTCCGCACTCTGCTCTAGTGAAAATTTAGTGATTTTACTGTTAAAATTAAAAGTTACTATAAAGTTACTAAATTTTCACTAGAGCAGAGTTCAGAAGTTGACGAGAATTATGACAAATGGCGAGTGGGGATAATGAAAAATAAAATTAATTTTTTGAACCCAAGTGTAATGGCAAAAAAATTTTTATTTATCGAGATCTATTTTTTAAAACAATAAAATCAAAAAATTAATTTTTATTATTTTAAAAAATAGATCTCAATAAATAAAAATTTTACCACTTAATCGCCATTTTGGATTTCCCCCACCCAATTTGAAGTACCTAATTGTTATCGTGGCGGGATAATTTAAATATCTTTACAATAATCGTTATTATATATATATTATATTATTAATTAATTAATATTGTCACTTTATTTAAAAAAAAACTTTGTCAAAAACAAAAAAAAAATATTTGCCGTTATAAAAATGTAAAAATAATATTTAAAAATTAGTTTCTCGTACGCAATTTTTTTTTTCTTAAAAAAATGTTCAATTTTTTTTTTTATTTGAAAAAATGATACTTTCAAGACATAATTACAGAATATAATTTTGTATATATTTACAATTGGTCCTTAAAATAGATCAATAGATTTGTATTTAAAAAAAAATTAACAGCACTATTAAAATAATAATTATTTAAAAAATACGGCTTGTAAATTACAATTATAAAATACATATTACAATTAAAATTAACCATTATAATTTAAAATTAAATATTGCATTATATATATTTTATTAAAAAATATATATTTTTCATAAAAATTATGGTATAAATATATATATATATATATATATAGAAACATTAAAATTAATATAAAGGAGCAGCAATTACTGAATTCAAGTTTCTGAATTACTATTATTCATAGGCCTCTTAAATATTTCAACTTCTTTCTCATCATCATCAAAGAAACTTGTTCCAGACGCAAGTGGACGGAATAAATAAGCTCTTCTGTTGGTTCTTTTTTCTTTCAAGTACGATTGATATTTCATAAATACTAATGTAACAAGTACAACAACAATAAATCCTGCAGTTCCTGAAAAAGAATCAGAATATTACACAGTCATATAATATAATTATATAACAATATATAATTATTAAATATATAATCAATAATTATTAAAATGTATTTCAAATATTTCAGAATCGAACTAAAACAAATTTTTATTATTTTAATTCAATAAGAAAGATTTTTTAAAAAATTATTAATGTTCCATTTTTAAATCTTATGTAAGGCAATTATTCGAATTGAAAATTTTTACATATAATTTTTTGTTTTAATGGACATCAAAATTTTGGACCATAATTTAATTTTGAAAGGTTTTTTTAATTGCAATTTTTTTAAACAATTAAAATTCACAGGATTTTAATTTTTCAAAAATTTTAATTTTTCAAGATGTTTAAAAATTTGTAAATCAATTTTTTAAATAATAAAACTTAATAATAGAATTAAAAATTTTTTTTAATAGTTGAATTTTCAAAGATTTACAATTCAGATTTTAAAAAACTAATTGAATTTCAAATGATTTTTAATTTCTGTTGATGAAGAATTTATTAGAAATAGAAAAATTACAGACTAAAATTTAATTAATAAAAATCATTAAAAATAATTGGATTTTTGCAAGAGTTTCAATTGAAATTTTTAAAAATAATTTAATTTCAAAAGATTTTGTTAAATTTCAGACAATAATTAATTTTTTCAGAATTAAAAATAATTTCTGAAATAATTTTAAATAACAGATTTTTAAAAGTAATTGAATTTTCGAAAGATTTACAATTAAAATTTTTGAAAATAATTGAACTTCAAATCAATTTTAATTAAAATTTTCGGTAATTTCTGTTGATAGAAAATTTATTAGAAACTACAGACAAAATTTGTATTTTAAAAATTTTTACATGAAAATTTTTTAAATAAGTAATTAGAATTTAAAAAAAAATAATAATTAAAAATAATTTTATTTTGAGAAAAATAAAGATGAAATTTTTAGAAATAAATAAATTTCAAAATATTTTAAGTTTTCAAAAATTTTAATTATTCAATACTTTTTAAAATTTTAGAAAATAATTAAATTTTACAGAATTTTTAATTAAAAATATTTTAAATAATTCAATTTTTGAAAACTTTAATAAAAAATTATTGGTTGAGAATTATTTAACAATTAATTTTAGATAAAATTTTTAAAAAATAATTAAATTTTGGTTACAATTTAAATTGTTAGGAATGATTAAAATGAAAGTTTTTTTATTGAAAATTTTAGAAATAATTAAATAGAATGTTTTAAATTAAAATCTTTAAAAGTAATTGAATTTTAAAATTTTAAATGAAAATTATTGAAAATTGTAATTACTGAAGATTTTTTTAATTTCAGTTAATAATTAAATTTTACAAGAATTTTTTTTCAAAAAAATACTTTAAAGAATTGATTTTTTTGAAAAATTTAATTTAGATTTAACAAAATTTATTTTAAAATGAATTTTTACTTTTCATGAATTTCTAGATAGAACATTTTTATTTTATACAATATTTACTTCACAGAATTTCTCTTTACACAAGTTTTTATTGAAAAGAATTTTAATTTAACCGAATTTTATTTTTACAGGATTATTATTTAATACAATTTTAAATGCTTCGAATTTTCAATTAATTGAATTTTAATTTATTCCAATTTTTGTTTGTACGAATTGTTATTTGATAGAATTTTTGCAAATGTCCAAACAAATAATCGCCAGAAAGATTTAGGCATTTGTTTTTAAATTTATCTAATCACAATTTTCTTGAAATAATTTATCAAATTTAAAATGTGACAATTACTCACCAGATATGAAGACAAAAGCAAGTCTTGGCATTCCAAGAACATTTTTGTCCCGACGAAGCTGAAACTTTAAGTACGAGAACTTGAGTAGTTCTGGGAGATCAATTAATCTTGTTTCCGTAATGTGACCTGGAGCGCTAGCTGTAATAACATGAGATCCAGCATTTAACAATATCCAAAATGCCCCATTCTGGAAACTTTTAATACGATGCGGTGAAGAGTCATGTGTGAAAATTGCATTTGGAATTGCTTCACCTTTTTCATCGACAACCAAACCAAATACACCTTTATTAACGGCACCCATTAAAATTAAAAGACTTTCTCTATTTTCCTCCCAAACAGTTTTTGCATTGTCAGTGTTACAACAACTAATGTAAATATTCAAAAATAATGAATTTGAATTTTGAAACGCGTACCTCATCAATGGGTCCTCAATAACTGAGTTTTCGTCTGGAAAACAAAAAAAATACCAAATTAAAAGACATTACAGAAATTTTTTTTTTTAATTTATGTAAAATCACTCACCCTCTGGACATTTTGATTTAGTTGAATTCATTAAAGGATTATATTTAATGTACTCAGATTTTAAATCCTTGAGGAATTTCTCGAATTCTTGAGCTTTTGACGATGTTTGAATAGTGCGAGCTCCAGTTTTTAGATTCATTGTCAAAAGTGGATTAATTTCATTTAACCAATTTGCAATTATTTTCTCGTCATTACTAAATGGCTCTAAAAATAGTAATTCATTTTCCATATTTATAGAACATGTTTTTTTATCATTTGCTGAATAAACTTCGGGAACAAAATGAAGATCAACTTTATCAAGAATACTCTTAATTCGTTTATTATTCTCTTGACTTTTGAGAATATAATCAGCAAGTGAGAGGAGAACTTTAGACGTAAGAGGTTCACCCCATCCAATACCAGAGAAAAAAACTAATGATGGTTTCTCAAATTTATTCTCCTTTTGTGATGAAATTCTTAAACTCGTAATTAAATTTCCTCGCGAACTTTTTCCAATTATTTTCAATTCTGTCATTTGCATATAATTTGAATTAAGTTCCTTTAAAATTTTACTACTTTCACTAAGAGTTATAATTTCATTTGTATTTTTATCAGACAATTTTAATTTCTTAAGAATAATTTTAATATCACTTATTTCATGTTGATTTATATGGACGGGAACTATCACAGTTTTATAGTCTTCACATGAAAATGTTAATTCATAATCTCCTGGTGTGAGAGTTAAAAGGAAATATGCCATATTTTTAGAGACATTATAGATAGATGATCCTATTTTAACTTTGGCATTACGAAGTGATTCACCAGCTTCGTTTGTTACTGAGGCACGAATTCCCGTTGTTAATGACAATAAAACTTCTTTCAGTGGTAAAAGATATTCACGCCAAATAAGTGGCAGTGATTCCTTTGCTGGATATTTACAGCACGATAGGGAAATTGATATCTAAATGATAAATTCAAATATAATAATTCAGAAAGCAAAGAAAATTTCGGAAAAATAATTTTCCCTTTAACTTACCACAGGAATGTTAAATATCTCATTAATATAGTGCCTAGCAATATCAAGACTTTCGCTTCGTTCCTCACATATCTTGGGAGCTATAGAATTCGCAAAATTATTAGAAATAGTTTTATACACTTTTAGATCATCAAATGTGTATCTGCAAATAAAAGAGTTCAAGAAATTTTTCTAAAAATTTCACTAATTAAACAAAAATAAAAAAAATTGAATCAATTTTCCTCACCCAATTTCAGAAGAGCCACCACCTAAAATAACAATTACATCTAATTTTTCAGTCTTCAATAATTTCAAAAATGCTTCTGTTGTTGAATCCATTTTTCCTGTTTTATTTATAAAATTTTTTCCAACTTCATCATCAATATCGCTATTACAAGATTCGGATACTTTTTCAAAACCCGGATCAATTCCAGGGAGAAAATGTAAAACAGCATTTGACAACATTTTCTTTATTGGCGGTTCAGCAAAACCCATTATAATGTGTGTTGCCATACGCAACCAAATTTCCCTTCCAGCTGGTTGTGAAGCAAATAATCCACCAATTAAACCAATGTGTAATTTATTCTCTTCAGGAGAACCAATCTGTAATTAAATTAATTAATTATATTAATGTAATTGAATTACGAATTCCCGGTGTCAAAGATAGAAAATATTTTTTCATTGTTAAGAGATATTCATGTCATATAAAAGGCAGTGTTTCCTTTGCTGGAAATTTACAGAACGATAGGGAAATTATATTAATTAATAATATAAATTAAGTTAATTAATTATATTAATTAATTATGTTAATAAATTATATTAATTAATTATGTTAATAAATTATATTAATTTTAGTGAATCACGAATTCCCGTTCTCAAAGATAGCAAAACTCCCTTCATTAATATAACTATTCAATATAATTATTTAATGTATTTAATTAATATAATTTCCTTTTTTAGAAAACTCTTTGACGGATATTTACAGCACGAAAGGAAAATTATATTAATTAAATACATTAAATAATAATATTGAATAGTTATATTAATTAATTATGTTAATTAATTAAATTGAATAGTTATATTAATTAATTTAATAAATTTCACTGAATCACGAATTCCCCATGTCAAAGATAGTAAAACTCCCTTCATTGATAAAAGATATTTACGCCAAATAAAAGGCAGTGTTCTTTGACGGATATTTACAGCACGAAAGGGAAATTATATTAATTAAATACATTGAATAATTATATTAATTAATTATGTTAATTAAGTATTTTGAATAGTTATATTAATTAATTAAATTGAATAATTATATTAATTAGTAATATTAATTAATTACATTAATTTTACTAAATCACGTATTCCCTTTGTCAAAGATAGCAAAACTTCCTTCATTGATAAGAGATATTTACGCCAAATAAAAAAAATTATTTACTTACTAATTAAATTAATTAAATTATTTAATTATTAATTTCAATTAATTTAACTTTTTAATTACATTAATTAATTATTTTAATTAATTATATTGAATAGTTATATTAATTAATTATGTTAATTAATTACATTAATGTAACTGAATCACAAATTCCCGTTGTCAAAAATAGCAAAATTTCCTTCATTGTTAAAAAATATTCACAACATATAGAAGTCATTCATGCCTTTGCTAGTTATTTACAGATAGGGAAATTATAATCATTAATTATATTAAATAGTTGTATAAATTAATTATATTAATTAATTATATTACTAATTATATTAATTTTACTGAATCACGAATTCACGTTGTCAAAGATAGCAAAACTTTTTTCAGTGTTAAAAGATATTCATATTAAATAAAAGACAGTGATTTTTTTAGATGGATACTTACAGTACGATAGAAAATTATATTAAATAGTTATATTAATTAATTATGTTAATTAATTATTAATTAAGTTAATAATTTTTAGAATACTTACGTTTTCGGTAATTTTCAATGAATGAATGTGTTTAGATATTGCTGAATCGTTGGCAATAAATTGTACCAAATTACCATGATGATTCTCCAGTTCTTTCATTCTGGCACTGAGTTCATTGTTTTTGAGATAACCAGCTTGTAAATTAGCCAGAAGACGAAAATCATAAGCAGAAGACCAATGTAAGGAATCGTCACGCATTAAAGTAAAATCAAGCATTACTTCCTCGGGAAGACCAAAAGAGTTCATAGGAACAGTGATATTTTGTGTCACAGCCTCATAACCAGGTGCAACAGCTGTAATATTATAAGTTCCTGGAACTAAAATTCTCCAATAATCACCATCCTCGGCAGTATAAATAACATGATCGATTCCTTGTACAGAAATTCGTGCATGCGGTATTTTCCCTCCAATTGAAGAATGAACTATTCCGTGAACGCCTTTTCGTGCCTAAAATTTACAATCGACATAAATAATAATAACAATTTTAATTAGTTTTTCCATTTGATTTTAATTTTTTCCAACCTACCACTTCGATAAAGGACAAAAGTGCGTCTCGATTTTCCAACCAATATTGTGGCAATTTATCGGCAAGGGGATATTTCGTACAACCAACCTCTAATGTTATCTCGAAACCATTACTTTTTAGATAATTATAATCTTGCATTCCACCCGGTACAGAATACCATTTAGCGCCATTAGTAATTCCATTTGGAAATGCATCCTGCAGAACTCCTTTTCTTCCGAGTCCTTCAGGATCGGGACATCCTTCACCAAGATGCATACGAGGATGAGTTTTAGAATAAATCAATGATATCATTTTGAAAACATCATTGTCTGGGCTTAGATTTTCTTGTGACCAATTTGTTGTAGGTCCATCGTCATATGGATAATTTGCAACTAAAGCACCACCATGAATATTGGCTGACAAAACAAAGGGAATTTCCGATATCCATTTTATGACTGCTTTTGTTTCTGGCTCTTGTTTTATATTATCCTTTAAAGAAAGAGGAAATAATTTATATTTTTAAAAAAAGATACATATATAAACATCAGATGGGGTTATATAATTACTAATTCCCTCAGTTAATTGCAGACGCATTTGCAAATATGTTTTCTAAAATTAATTCTGGCACTACTAAATAATTATCTAATTATTAATTCCCTCAGTTAATTTCTGATGTATTGGCAAAAATGTTTTCTAAAATTAATTCTTGCACTACTAAATAATTATTTAATTATTAATTCCCTCAGTTAATTGCGGACGCATTTACAAAAATTTTATCTAAAATTAATTCGAACACTACTAAATAATTATCTAATTATTAATTCCCTCAAGTTAATTTCTGATGCATTGGCAGAAATGTTTTCTAAAATTAATTCGAACACTACTCAAATTTTAATACGCAATGATAATATAATTAATTTGATTTCGTTTTATTGTCAATATATTTGTCTCTCCTGCAATCAAGTCTCTAATGCATAATTGTAAATATTGTATCAAAGGAAATGGAGATCTCCATCAATAATTTTTTTTTGGTAATAATTATGTGGATTCTCTGTGGAGAATTTTCGTGGATTTAGTTAATCAAAATTAACTAATTTAATTTATGTAATGTTTTTCCAACGTAACATAACTAATGTTTAATATGGTAAATAAAGAATCAAATTTACATACCTTTGTCGTGCCATACTGATCGGGAAAATTTCTATTTAGATCAACATGATGTGCATTTGCTCTTCCTTTTATACCATCAATATCACCAAGTGTTGAAATTTCATATCCATCTGGATTCATACTTGGCATTATGTGAAGTCTAATATTATTGACAATATTTGTTGCTCTCTCGTCTGATCCATAATTTTCACAAAGATATTTTATCAATAACAAAAGTATCTCTCTTCCCACAACTTCATTCCCATGCATATTGCCAATATATTTTACTTCTGGTTTACTAATATTGTGAATACCAGGATTTTGTGTCACCTCCAATACATAAAGCTCTCGATTTTGCACTGAACGACCAACACTATAAAGTCTCGTAATACTTGGATAATTCTCACTGAATTCCTTCAGAAATTTCTCCATTGTCGTATAATTATGATGAACAAATTCATATTGATGATAAAATCCATATTTATCACGAGGCAATACTGTATTCAAAAGTTTTCGAGAGCTTGGACGAACTACAGAACAATTGAAATAAATGACAAAGTAAAATAAAACTCAAATTATTAATAAATAATATACAGAACCCATGAAATAATTTTTTATATAAATCGAAAAAGAAACAGAATTGGAAAAATTATATATATGCATGCATGGGTAAAATAAATAAAAATTTACAAAAAAAAAACCAAACGAAAACAACACAAGGTATCGAAAAGGAAAAAAATGAATGACAATTTACATAAATATGGATTTAATGGGAATTGAAAAATGACAATTTCAGAGCAGATAAAATTTTATTCATACAATTTCATACACAATTCCATAACATCAACTCCTATACTGAATATTCATTTTAAAAAACAATATAACATTTAATTTTTGTCAAGGCCATGTTTGGAATTAATTGAAAATAACTAAGAAAAATTATAAATTGTATTTCTACTTCAATCTTTTTTTTTTTTAATACGAACGACCATTATTTGATACGAAAGGAAATGTTTCCAAGAATCATAAATATTTCAATATTTCAGCCATGGTCTTAATTCTAAGTAGATAAAGTTAATTTCACATTTTTAATAATAAAGCACTTAAAATTTTATTCAAACTTAAAAATAATTAACTAAAATATTTTTATTAACGAAAAAATCATCCATTCCCATAGAAAATATTCAGGCTACAATTGTCAATATTCTATAAATTGCTACTAGTGCCTGTTTATTGTGTAATATCGTAATGTAATTTTTTTTTGTTCAAAATGCTATTATGAAATCACAGAAATATTTGTTCTTGTAAATATAGACTAAAGCAAAATTAAAAAAAAAGTATCAGATCTTTGAAATGCTATATAAAATCACAGAAATATTTTGTTCATATTTAAATTATAAATTAATTTAAAAGATAAAGATTAATCTTCACAGTCAACTTGTTTTAGATATATTATGTTGTGCTTTTAAAAAGTACAATGCCATGAGCATTATAGATTTTTTTTAAAAAATTAAATCATATATTTCCACGATGACGAAGAAATATCTTGTACTATTGATAGAGATTCAGTTTTTCATTTCTCCATACCTTGTGTTGTCAAGGGTTGCCAGTTTAAGTAGTCAGATCTTAGGAGCTAAAAATTATTTTTTTTTTTAAAGAAGTACGAGAGCTCTTTTCGTTTTTTACCAACAAAAAACGCTCCGAGCCAAGTAAACTGATCAATTGCGCACTGTAAGCATAGAATACAAAAAGAAACAATTCATCATTATGTGATGAGAGGATGGTAAAACTTAATATTTTTTTTTATTAAGTACAAGGGAGTCCGGAGTTTTTAAATACTGCATGTCATAACGAAGAAAATCTTTCTCTTTATTTTTAAATCGGATAATATTGAAAATAAATAACAGTTAAAAATGTGTCTTCCCAAAATCCACTTTTAATTATTTAATGCAATATTTAAAAGTTATTATATTTTTAACAAAAATAAAATTTTGCTAAAAATAAATATGAAATATTTTACACTATTTAAAAATTACTAGAAAAATAATATTTACACATACACATATATAATTTCATTAAGAGAAAATTGAATTTTTCTAATAATTCAGTTCTTAAGATCTGTTAAACTACTTTTAAAAAAATTAACAACTACCGTTAAAAGGTTTTAGTTTGTGAATTTTTTTTTAGTTTCCATAACCACCAGTAAATTTTAAATCTAAAATGAGAATGATTAAAAGAAAGCGAGAATCTAGCGTTTTTAAACTGAACGAATTTATATGATTCGTCTATAGTAAATATTATGGTAAATATTTTTCTTTTTCTTTGAATTATTCAAAAGAGGAAAAAAAAAATTTGGAGTAATGGTGTGTTTGGATATTAAAAAAAAATTTTTAAATTCGATGATTAAAAAGAAAACAATGAATTTATGCAAAAAATAAATTTTATTTTGTAAATTTACAACGTGGACAATATGATAAAAATAATACAAAATACAATATAAATTATAACAAAACAAGAATATAAAAAAGTATATATTTCGATGAAAAATAATTTGTTCAAATTAATTAATAAGTATATAATTATTTTTGCATGCATATCTAGAATAATTTAGACAATTGCAATCTTTTCATAGGTTAAATCAGTCTGTTTTTATTTATTAAAATAATTTGTTCGTTAAATAATAAATTTTTTGTATTACAAGTTATTCTATAAATCAATTTTCATTATACAAGTTCAAGTTATTCTACGAATATTTATATTATTCCAAAATCTATAATTCAAATATTTTCAAGAATTCATCGAATAATTTTATAATCTAAGAAAAACGATATATTTATATTTTTGCATCTTCAGGGAAAATTAATCAATTACATAAAAAAGTAAGTGTATATTTTAAATTAATTATTTTTCTTTTTCTTATCAAAATCAAAATTATAAATTTTTTTGTAAACGTTTGTTAAACCTTTCCGAGAAATTCTAGTGCTACCCGAGCGCCAATTTTTTGGGGGTGTTATATCTGGTCATTTTTTCAGACTTATTTTTATATATTTTTTTCTCTCACTTTTCTCTATTTACATCATTTTAAAAGAAAATACATCTGCTTTTTTAAAAGTTACATTTCCTGTTTATTTTTTTTTTATCATTAATTTATATCTTAATTTTCAATAAATAACAATCAAAATCCTTTTTATATCTTAATTTAAAATAAAATAACAAACGAAACCTTTTTCTTTAAAGATCTTATGTGTTTGTTATTTTATTTTATTCACGTGTTTCTTGTATCGAAATTTTAACTTGTGATCATTGTATTAACCTGATGAGGGCTAAATAGCCGAAACATGTAGTAAATTTTAAACCACAAACTTTATCAATAAACAAATATCATAACTGTGAAAGGCCTCCAAAAATTATTATTAAAAATTACTATTGTTTATAAGAAACATTAAGCATAATTGTAAAATGATGCAAAATTTAGATGATCTCCATTGTTCAAGAATTTATCCCTACTTTTCGAAATCTGTGTTCATGAAGATCAAAAATTGAAAGAAGTGCAGCAATATGTTGAGTTGCGACTAACCTTTGGAACAAAAAAATAAACGAGAAATGTGTTCCCCGATAATGAAATAAGAAATTTCTGTTATTCGAAAAAGGCTTCAAAATTAATTTTGGGATTTGTAAGTATTATTTTTCAGCTGTCTGTCGAAGCAGAACCGCAGTTTTGCTTCAACAGACAGATGTTAATACTACTTATTTTGTCTGTCTGTCAAAGCAGAACTGAACCCATAAATTCCAACCTACCCTAAGGGTTGGGTCAGAAAGGCCCAAAAGGCAACATGTGGAATCTACAACATTTTTTCTATTTCTCGCGGTTGTTGACATCATCGACATTCATTTTTCGGTTGATTGGGATAATACGAGGAAAACTGGTGATATTGGAACTCCATCTGAAGAAATTGAAACGGCGGAAAAGCCTGGCGAGACTGAAACTTCATATATAGAAACTGGAACGACGGAAAAATCTGGCGAGACTGAAACCTAGAAAGTGCAATTCCAGGGTCTACAAGAAATTTCTCCCTTCAAAAATCTACTCCTAACACTGCAAAAACTCAAAATTTATAGCGGGGACAAACCTTCAAAAACGTATGTCTGCGTAAATTAGTCAGTCATTTTCTAAATCTTAAAAAGTCATTCAAACATTCTATGATGATTGCAATCATCCAGGAGAATCAATTCGATATTGAATTGTATAATCTAACATAGTCGTTCATCCAATCGATGGACTAGTTTGCGGTAAAAATTTAAATTCCTTATGCGTTTCCAATTAAATTTTTACCTATTATTCCTAAATTTGTTAATGTCACTTTATAAAGTTGTGACTAACAAATTTTATTCCTTAAATTGTATATTTTCTTAAATTTTTCACATTTTCTTATAATTTAATAGAAATAAAAACCAAATTAATTCCGAGTTATTGGATGAAAATCCAGGCTCAAAATTGATTAATTAAATTTTAAATGATAGTAATAATAATGGAAATTTTCTAATAATTTCCAATTATTAATTATTTATTATTTAAAATTTACAATTTTATTAATGTTACATTAAGTAACAAATAAGATAACTAAAGGAATGGCAAATTAGGATTGGAATCATTCAGGAGAGTCTATTCGAGACTGAATTAAATAAGATAACCAAAGGTATGGCAAATTACGATAAACATAAACAATTTGTCGTTATGTTTTGTTAATAATTGTGTTAAATATTTCGAACTGCGTTAGGAAGTTACAAGTTCAGTGTACTTTTATATTGAATCTTTTTTACGGAGAAATATTTAATACAATACATAAAAATTTACGGATCATCAAAAATCAAATGAGTAATATTCTGATTTCTACATAGGAAAACATCTGTTTTATCTAAATTACGTCTCATATCTTTAGTGTTGTCTTCCTTTTGGAACCAATAACGAGACAAAGTACTTTCAGTAGTCTACACTTATGGGATGCACTTTGAAATTTGGAAAATTCAATATAGATAAGAATACAGCCATTAAATCTTTTAGAAACTCTAAAGTGCATTCTTCCAGCTGTTTACTTACTTACTGTTTAATTCTTAATTCTCAGCAGTCAGTTCAATCAGTTCAATTACGAGTCAAGTTCTTAATCATCATATGAAGCTAATACCCAAAATTCCAATTTAAACGAGTTTTCAACGAGATTCAACAATTATAAATAAAAAAGAAAAAAGTGAGTACTTTTATTGTATACTAAATTACTTTTCTCCTCTCATCTATTTTTTTGTCATACTTCTAATTCCGAAGGACGTGGTGCGATTAAGTTGTGCATTTTAGTTCCTTCAATCATTGAAAAAAGATTTGATCGTTATTTTTTTTTATTAAACACCTTCCGAAAAGATTTCGGTGTATTTAGTGCATTATTATCTTTTCAATCCTTCTAAATTCTCCTTCAAATAAAATAAACCAATTTGAATGATTCCTGAGTTGTGGACAATGAGTCTAGACTCAAAAATAAATTAAAATTAATTATCTATGTTGCGTTCTCGGACGTAACAGTAGTAAAATTAATAGTAACTGATGAAATGATAATAAAGATATTGATTTTATATGAAATATATATAAAATATAATATAAATTATTTAATATTTTAAAAATGTTTTAAATTAATCTGGCGCCCATTGTTTGTCGTGAAAATTTAAGGAGTGATCATAATATAGTAACTAATAAGTTAACTTTCAATTTTTTTATATTATATATTAAGTTTTTTTGGTTCTTTTTGATTTGTCGCCATTTGATGGCAGCCAGTCTAGGTGACGTTTATTCACGTTATTACGATGGAGTACAAGCTAATTGACGACTAGTACCATATTATAGTGAACTCCCATTGTGCCTTGCATGCATCCTCTTCCTATGGAAGATAGACCCTTTCTAAAAATGCTATACCCACATATGAGTCTCTTCAGCCTCTTTATAGCTTATTATTCCCCCTACTTCATAGCGGCTGCAAACGCTATTTTTTCTATGGGAGTACCACCATGAAGAACTACATGACTGAATGTTCTAATGATTTAGCCACTTTCTAAGAGAGGGTTGTCAACTTAATAAATATCAGAAACAAGAGATCTGTTGTTTCCGCTACTAAGTACTTATAAATGAACTTTATAATGTTCTTTAATAAACTTTATAGAATTACAATACTTCATGGAATTTAATTATTATAAATAGACACCTCTCCTGTCCTTGTATAAATGAAATGAATGAATTGTATTAAAAATGGTCATTATAAATTTGGATTAAAATTTTTTAAAAACTTTACATAACAAATATGGCACCCATTTTTTGTAGAGATAATTTAAATATTTTATATGCAACATTTAAATATATTTAATTAATAAAAATGAACTAATAAAGCAGTAATTAATTTGAGTCAAGTGGTATATTATTCACCGCTTTCTCAAAATATTGTAAAGGAAGTCAGTAATTTCTCGCGACATAAAAATTATCTATCGGTTCCCAAAAGTGATAGCTGAAGGTCACTATACTAATGGGATAAGAAAACGACGAGAAGATAAGATTGGTTCTTTCCATCTTGTTACTGGATAGTGAATACAGTCAAAAAAAGTATTGCCCAGGAGTTGACAAAAACTTCTTTGAACATTCAAAAAGACTTTGCTTTTGATGTGAATGATCAAGCGGACTTCTTTCATTCCGTCAGATAGAGGAACTTCAGGTGAAATCAATAATCACCAAATATTATTATTATTAATTAATATATATATATATATATATATATATATATATATGAATAATTTGTAATATAAATTAAATTGTTTATCATTTTTATTGTTGTAGAATTAAATGAAAATATTTTGAATTAATAACTGGCGCTTATTTTTGTAGACGAATTGTAAGTCACGTGTAATAATTAATTACATAAAACTCTTTCAAAATGAAATACAGTTAAATTCTTTTCGGTCACGGCAGACCAAATGGAATATAACTAATTACTTGAGTAATACTTTATAAATTAATTTTATAAAAATAAAAAAAAATGTTTTAAATTCAGTAATTAATACAAGTTTAATTTTCAGTTTTTCAGTTATTCATTGTATAAATATCTGAATAAAAGTAAGTGTTAAATAACTATTATTTAATCCTTCTTTTATTTTAATGATTTTCTACTTATTCTTCTATTATCTAAGAAGAACAACGTTATGTAAGCAGTACGAAGATTTTCTCAATTGATAATTTCTATAATAAAACTTTTTTTTAAATTTCATGATTTTCTAAATCTAATACATCATTAAATTTAATTCCTTTTAAATTCACTATTTTCCTGTTAGCAAAGAAATATTTTAATCAAAGTATTTCCAAATTACTGGACAAGAATTTAGATTTAAAAATGTCAGAATTTTCTATACTTCTCGGCTAAAAAAAATTTTTTATGACAGTTCCCTGAACAGGTGATCATATTTAAAAAAAATATATATAAAAATTACGTTTAAACAACGTGATGTAAAAACAAATTAAAAAATAAAACATTTTAAACATATTTCTATTTTAAAATAGAAATTTTTAACCCATGAAAACTTGCAATGTCTTCTACTATTGTATTAATAATACATATTTCGTTCAGTTTGTCATGAATTAAGAAACGCAGTTTCTCAATAAAAAAAATTTGTTACATGAAATTTGCAGAGCGAAAATAATGACTATACGTGATTTAAGTGCTCTTTAAAATAAGCGAGATTAACAAACATATAAAAATCATAAAATTGTCAAAATGCATTTTATTTATATATAAACATATATATTTATATATTCTTATTTTTTTAATGCATTAGCATTAAAATTTGTTCTTTTTGCATTTTTGATGTAAACTATTTTCTATATTTTTTCTGATATTAAAAAAATGAATTTTGACAATTTTATACATAGTTAAAAAGAAAATTTTTATACAATTAAAACCGTTTATAAAATAAATAAAAATTTAAGACATTTTTCCAATTTGTCATATTGAATTTTTTTTTTTTGAAGATATTTAAAGATATTTTCACAGATAAAATATGTAAAATTTAATCCTCTTTTGCAAATATGATTCATTTTATAAACGATTCCTTTTATAAAAATTTCTTCTTCATTTTGTGCAAAAAAAAAAAAAATGTTTTAAATAATAAAAAGCTATAAAATTAAATTTCTTTAAAAGTGATATAAAAACAGTAAAATTAACAACTTGCTCTGCATATTAACAAAAAAAAAGTGTCTCAGTTTTGGTGTAAAGTCTTCAATTACCTTGTTCTTTGAAGGAGTCCGACTCGAGAACAAAATCTAAGTTGACAACTTCTTTGCTGCCAACAATCACAATTTCGCGTTTACTTGGTTTATATCTGTAAACAAAAATTTCAGTCTTTAATTTTAATTCTTAATTTTCAATGATTTTTAGTAATTTTCGAATAGTACATTAATTATTAATTTCAGCAATTTTTTCTCTATTTTCACTTTAAATCAAATTCATTTCATTGATTATTTTTATAAACATTACATTAAGAATATATTTTGCAAATTTTTTTTTAATTTTTATTAAATTGTAGAACACATATCAGTAAAAACGGTATTACAAATCCAACCGTCTAATGGTTCAGAGTTCTTGTATTTTATTTGGCATGTGTAATTATTAAACAAGCGAATATTTATATTCAATATTCCCATGTCTCAACATGCTGGCAATAATTTTCTTTTAACTTTAATTAATTTTTTTTATAATATTCAATCATTTATACAATTTTTCGTAAGTGGATTTTTGCAATTTTTTATTACAGAATTTTTACAATGTTATTTTGGTTTCAAATAATCTGTATTCTAATTTCATCATTTTCCCTTTTTCACTCAATGCTGATAAAAAAACGACGTACAAATTTAATAATTTAAAAAATTAAGTCGTTGACGACTTGACAAAAAGAGGTGAAACCTTTCATAGACGAATTGAATTTTGTGACATTGTAAAATTTTTCAATTTTACAATCAATATATTAATTAACTTTTCTTTATTATTCCCGAAAAAGATTTTTTACTAACAAAAATTTACTATACGAAATCACATTAAGGATTCGAGAAATAGAAAAATCTTATTAATACCTAATAAATAAATATTAAGAATTAATGTCTGTAATCCCTTTTATTTATGTACGAGCCAATATTCAACTGAAACAAGAAATTAAGAAAAACTTCAAGATTTAAGAAAACTTTGAGAAAATTAATTATATGTATTGGATATTTTGTATTGGTCAACCTAACCTCAATTTTTGATAATAATAATTATTGGATATATTTATTAATTTGTATTCTTCAATATTTACTTCCGATGTAAGAAATCACCTATAGGAGAAAAACAAACATCTTTTTGTTTAATGTGATCTCGTATAAAACAAACGGTTTTGTGTCTTAATCATTTCTTTTAAATATTGGAATCTTGATAATAATTTTGAACAAAATATAGTATATCATCAATTCGAAAAGGAAATTTATTATAATTAATAAAAAGGGAAATAAGGAAATGAATTTAATAAAAAAGTAATGATTGTTGAAAATTCACGGTCTAAAAATTTATACTAAATATATCATATGTCGATAAATGTATTACCGACCGTAGAGTACACCGATGTAGTACCCGATCTCGCCGCATGAGGTACATCATAGAGTTCTCTCGCATGCGTTCTGGCCACCGATCGGCTATATAAGCTGCTCTCCCGCAGAGAATCGTCACTCTTGTGCTTCACCCTCATCACAAGGGGTTTTACCCCCGGAATCTCACTCCGAATATGTATCGTATAGACTATCACATATCACTCTCGTTTCAACGTGGTTTCACCCGTTAGGGCAGTAATTAATTTTTAAATCGCATTTTCGTAACAACGTAACGCAATATAACGTAACGTAATGACGCAATGTAACGCAACGAAACATATTATTGTAATCCGTTTTCTATTATTTTTATCCGTAAAATCGTCTATTTAATCGCTTTATGTAAATATATAATTTTTAGGTTTTTTTTTTTTGTAAATAAACGTCACTTCCGTATGTGTCTGTAAATTTAATGTAATTTCATTTACTTTTAAAACGAACCCTGATCCGGCGAGCTAATCCGCCATTTTTTTATAATCACATTCGTTACAAAAAGAAGGAATTGTTTGGAAATCTCTATTGGAAATTCGTTGCCAACGGACATTTTAATTCTATTAATTTTTGAACTTTCTGGTAAAATTTTATATTAAATTTATGAATGTTATTTCAAAATTGTTCTTTGCTTGATTTTTCTAATAATGAATATGATTTAATTTTTCTTCTGAATTTAATTAATTATCATTGAGTTTCAAACTTTTCAAAAAATGAATTTAATTTTATAAATTAAATTAACTGAAATATCATTCATTTGATTTATATTTCAATTTTTCTTTCCATTCCTCGAATTAAAGAATCTTTATTATTGAATAAGAATAAGTAAACAATTTTTTTTATTATGAATATATTTTGATATTATATTGAGTCTAAATTAAATTTTTATCATGTTTAAAAATTAAATAAGGAAATTTATTAATCTTTTTTTTTCTAAAATTTCATGTTTTATTGAATATAAAATAAAAAATCTTTTAGAATATGGTTTCACGAACCGCCCTCTCTACTGTTAATCAAAAATTGAGACTGCGGCAGGCCAAGTAAAAGGAAGACTATTTTGATTTCTCAAATTTTGAATTTTAATAATTTTGAATTGATAGTAATTCTTTTTTTTGTCTAGAATTTTGATTTAATTATCAAATTTGACAGTCTCTAAAATAATTAGCCTCGTGGCCTTCTGTCCGTTAATTATTTTTTTTTTTTTATTTATTTTGTCCCAAGAAAGGGATGGCGCCCGAAAACAATTTATTCGAGTCTTCTCTTGTAATCTTGATTAATTTTTGATTAATTAATTGATTTTAATAATTTTGTTTAAATGTTTAACATCGTTAAAAATCAAGATTACAATTTTTTTTAAAAAAAAAGATAGTCCTTACCTCCAAGCAGTGGCGTAAACTGTGTACTTTCCAGGAAGAAGAAGACGCCAATACTCCCCACGATCAGTTGTTACAATATTATGATTGACTCCAACAACAATAATTTTTGCATTTTCAATTGGTTGTCGATTCTCATCAGTGACAATTCCTTTTATTCCAATGTGCGCTTGCTCAAGATATTTCAAAAGTGATTCCTTATTTAAATCCCAGTGATCAGGCATTTTATCAGCTGGAGGATATTTACAGCAGCTCACTTCAAATGTTATCTCAAATGCATTTGATTGAGCATAATTGAAGTCTTGCATTCCTCCCTTCACTTCATACCTGTGAGGAAAAATAAAAATTTTCTTTAAAAAAAAAAAATAAATAAAGTTCCTCCCTGTATTTTTAATACATTGTTATAAAAAAAAAAAAATTCAAAACTTTTTATCGAACATTAAAATTTTTTTTTTTGCAAATTAAAAAACTTACCAATAAGCTCCATTAGTAATTCCATCGGTAAATATTTCAGGTGGACAGGAATTTCCCAATTTCATTATTGGATGATTATCAGCGTAAGTATGGGCAAGATATTTAAAAAGTTTATCGTCCGGTGATATACTTTCTTCGCAGCAACTTTTGGAAATTCTGAAAATATTTTCTTTATTTAATCATAGTTAATTAATCATTCTTCGCGAATGTTTTTCGATCTTTTTTTTTTTTTTAATTAAACTATTTTCAAAAAAGTATCAATTATTTTACCCTGAATCATATGGATAACTGGCGACAACAGTTCCACCGTGGAAATTTCCGGACAATACAAATGGTTCATTTGAAATCCACGTCATCATTGCAACAGTTTCATTTTGTCTATCCTCAGCTAAACTGTGACCATTTCCAATTTTATTATTTAACGATCTATCAAATTGATCCGGAAAATCACGATTTAAATCCACATGATTTGCATTTTCTCTACCAGTGTAATCATTTTTTGAATTACATTCACCTTCCTAATGTACAAAGAAAACAAAATATTCTATTATACACATTTTCCACTACATTAATAAAATATTGATAAATTTAATAATTCAAATTTATTTTATATTTCAAAATTAATTCAAATCAAATATAATCGAAGACTTTTTTTTGACAAATATTAATAAATTTTAGGGAACCTATTTTTTATTTTACAGACTCTTTTTTTATTAACTTTTCATTCAAAATATTATAATTTAATCGAATACTAATTTAACAGAATTATCATTTAACAAAATTTTAAGTGATTCGATTTTTTAAAAGAAATTTTTCAAATTCAATTCAATTTTATTTTTATTAAATTGTAGAACACATATCAGTAAAAACGGTTTTACGAATCCAACCGTCTAATGGTTCAGAGTTCTTGTATTTTATTTTGCATGTGTAATTATTAAACAAGCGAATATTTATATGATCAATATTCCCATGTCTCAACATGCTGACAATAAATTTTTTTTTTAACTGTAATTCATTTTTATAATATGCAGATATTTATGCAATTTTTCATAAGTAAATTTTTTATTACGGGTCAATCCACTGACTTTCGTCTAATAGTGGTTGCGACCAAATTTTAAAAAAATCTAGTTTTAATATATGTGAAACTCGATGATTCCCTGAGTTCATTAACCATAATATTATGGTAAAAATTTTATTCCCTTTGAAAATATTAAATATCAAAAGTAGGAGGTTCACAATGTGATTTTGTAACCTTAAACGAAAGAATTATTGCAAAAATTTATTATTTTTGGATGATATATCGATTTTAAAAAAAATTTTATTTAAATATTCTCAAGATTTTTATTTACTTATAACTTTTTTGTCGGTGCTCCGAAAAAATTGAGGTTTTGCACAAAGATTTTTTATAATATTCTTTACCTTCTATTAAAATCTTACGAAGGTGTTTTGCTTCGTTTTGGAGATATGTATTAATTTTCAAAATTTTTTATTTATTATTGTTTTATTATTTATTGTTGTTCGTTTCAAGGCTCTGAATATAGCCGCAAGTCCCCCTCCCTCCTCTCATTTCCCCTTCTCCGTCAAAAATGACCTAAATTTTGAGGTTATGTTCGTTTCAAGGCTCTGAATATAGCCGCAAGTCCCCCTCCCTCCTCTCATTTCCCCTCCTCCGTAAAAATGACCTAAATTTTGAAGTTATGTTCGTTTCAAGACTCTGAATATAGCCGCAAGTCCCCTCCCCTCCCCCGCCAGAAATGACCTAAATTTTGAGGTTATGTTCGTTTCAAGGCTCTGAATATAGCCGCAAGTCCCCCCTCCCTCCTCTCATTTCCCCTCCTCCGTCAAAAATTGACCTACATTTTGAGGTTATGTTTGTTTTAAGACCCTAATAAAGCAGTAAGTCCTTCCCCCTTCCCTCATCTCTCTCTGTATTTCCCGCCAAAAATAGGGGGGTTGGCGCGCGAAGCGAGCATGGTGGCGTAGCCCCTCTAGTATATAATATAATATATAAATATAACAAAAATTTTTATTATATTTCAGTTTTAATAATTAATTTTATTAATCTTGGCTGAAGCCTGATTTTTTGTATTTTTGAATATTGGTTGAATATTGGGCCAATATTGAAATTCGAGCCTTGGCATTGGTCTCTACACTCCCAGACTTGGTACAATATTGGCTAAAATAACGTCCAATATTTAGCCAATATTCAGTCTTGACAATTTCCTACTGGAAAACGTAAAACGTAAAATAAAAAACGAAAAGAAATAAATTTTTTTTTTATTTTATATATTATCACGTACTTTACTCTGAGTTTAATGATTATTATTTTACACGCGAATATGTCAAGATAATTTATTTTAGGTATAGATAATATACGCAAATATTTCACATCAAATTAAAACAATAACTTTTATAATCGACGGAATGTCTACTACAAGCAGTATAATATTATTGTTTCAAAGACTAATAAAAAAAAGAAATATTTTTTTTTAACTTAAATTATTATCATTACTTTAGATACAAAAAAATTTATCTTAAAAAATTGGAGATAAGATATTCTGTTAATTTATTAATAACATAAATAAAAGAAATACAAATTCAACAAGATTTCTTTTTATTCCTTTATTTTAAAATGATGAATTTTCGAGAAAAGAAGACCGTACTATTCTATGATTTCATCTATTTGTCTTAATAGGAAAGATATATTTATTTAAGAATTAAGTTTCAAATACTTCTTAAGCTAACACTTTTAAACTATTTTCTTAGTTTTCGCGTTTAATACATTTTTGATTGAAATTTGTTGTACGTTTCAAATTCGCGGTACTTTAAAAAAATTTCTAAACATTTTTTTTTTGCAATTTTCCAGTCGTACTAAATTTCCAGATATCCTGGATCAATAACATTAAATAATATTATGACGTAATTTTTTTTAATGAAATTAATAATTAAATGTAGCGGATTCAGAATGTTAATTTTGTACTTTTTAAAAACATTATTATGCAAATTCTATTATTAAATGGTGTTCCGCAATGGCAAGCAGTGGTTGTCTTTCAAAAATTGTCTCCTCGTAGGTGCATTTAATTTAAAAAAGATTTTTCTCTCAACTCGGATAGGAACAAAAAAATCGAAAAAAATTTCCAGTTATCCTGAAATATTGTACTTTCATTTACGCACAAGAAATTATTGAAAATTCATTACGATAAACGACGTCAGGAAGTAAAATAAGAAATTTTGTTTGTAGCCTTCAGGTGCTGCCACAGACGGTAAATTTCAGTACTACTCAAATGTTATAACTCTTCCTATTTTACTTCCTGTTGTTTATATGTGAATAAATCTTTAATTTCTTGGTGGCAAATGAAAGTACACAAACTCAGGATAACTGGTATTTTTTCCGATTTGGCCATTTTTGTCCATTTTTTGAAGTTAAATGTACCTCATTTTTTAAAGACAACCACTGCTTGCCATTACGGAACACTGTTAATATTACACCGTCCGACAAAATTCAACTTTTTTTTTGACCCACAAAAAAATCCAACATTTTTGGAAACTAGGATAAAAAAAAATACCCGTGTCTGGCCGTTTTGCTAGATCAAGTCGTTTGTCGTTTTTAGGGGTGAAAACAGCCCCTAAATAAAAAGTGACAAGATATCTTTTAAAAATTATTACTATTTTATAAAACTTGGTATCTGGGGTTTTTCGGGGTCTCTGATTAATTATCTGATGTCAGATTTTCAAAATTCAAAATGGCGGTCAAATTTTTAAAAAGTTATTAAATTTTTTTTAAACCTTGGTATCTAGGGGTTTTTTTTGGGTCGCTGATGACGAATCTGATATTAAATTTTCAAAATTCAAAATGGCAGATATAAAATAAAAAATTAATAACTTTTTAAAAATTTGATCACCATATTGGATCCGCCATTTTGAATTTTGAAAATCTGACATCAGATTAATAATGAGTGACCCCGAAAACCCCCAGATACCAAGTTTTATAAAATATTAATAATTTTTAAAAAGATATCTTGTCATTTTTCATTTAGGGGTTGTTTTCACTCCTAAAAATGACAAACGACTTGATTTAGCAAAACGGCCAGATACGGGTATTTTTTTGGGTCCTAGTTTCCGAAAATGTTAAATTTTTTTGTGGGTCAAAAATTGTGTCGGACGGTGTTACAAATAGTAGGGGAGATATATTATGAGACATACTTTTTCCAAACTCTGTAATTTTCACAAAAATTAAGTTTTTTTTTGCAAATTTAAAAATCGGATGTGCTACTGGGAGGAATAATCTACATTATACTCTCTAAATTTGAATCAGCGGAATCTCGCTGATTCTCAGCTATAAGTATACCACTGATTCTAATCAGCTTATATGCACTGATGAATTAGTGGAATTTCACTGATTTTTCAGCGTATATCCGCTGTTTGGTACCAGTGGTATACTTATCGCTGATTCAAATTTAGAGAGTACTTAAGAAGCTTTTTAAAATTATTGTCTTCTGATAAAATAGCGAGAGTTTGCAAATAAAAACGGCGTTTTTTCAATTTTCAAAAAACTTGGCAAATTTTAAAACAATTAATGACAAACGATAATTATTAATATATTTATCTAAATTTATTCAAATTAATATCGTTGTGAAAATATCTCAAACACGAGTATACAAAATAAATTTTTGAACGCAAGATTGCAAATCGTTGTTGTGTACTTTGTAAGTTCATATAAATGCAAAAGTGCTAATGGAAAAATAACCTTGGTGTAAGACAAGACGATATCAGTTATTGACCAAATTCATTTCAAATTAGGAAGGCCGTCCCTGGCGGAATAAAATCACTCAACGTCCACTTTGTAAAGTAGACATTGAGTGGACATTGGGTAGAAACTTGGTAATTCGCAAAAATAAACGTTAAAATGACAAAATATGAAAAAATTTGAGTTGCAAAAGGTAAATAAATATCCAGCGACTAAATTCTAGTAATAATTGCGTTAAATAAAGCATTAAAAATTAAAAAAATTAATATAAATTGTGCAAAGTAAGTTGTCATGCTTACATTCTATTGGTTTTTTTAATATTCCAATAAATTAATGTAAAATGACGCAGAACTTTACACATAATTTTAAAAAATTGTTAAATTCATCAAATTGATGTATTTTTGAGGTTAATTAATTAATAATAATAAAAATTATATTTAATCTCAATAGTGTTGTGAAATACTATAGAAATTGTATTATCGACCATATGTGATAATAAATAGTTCGATTTCACGGTAAGTAAAGTTATAGTTATGCATAAATACTTAGATGTCACTATAGTCATCTTGAATATGCTTCTGCTGGAATATAGATTTTGAATTGAATATGACATGATGATCGTTGTTATAAGTTGATGCCAGGACGCGACTATATATTATAAATTGGGTAAAATTCCTGTAGCGAACTAAGTGAAAAAAAGTTGATCGGATCGGGCTATAATTTGCACATAGTTTAGCCCTAGGAATGAGTAATTTAACCACGTATTTATGCATAACTATAACTTTACTTACCGTGAAAGGGTAATTTTTATTATCACATGTGGTCGGTAATTCAGTTTCTATAGTATTTCACAACACTATTGAAATTAAATATAATTTTTATTATTATTAATTAATTAACCTCAAAAATACATCAATTTAATGAATTTAACAATTTTTTTAAATTATGTGTAAAGTTATACGTCATTTTATATTAATTTATTGAAAATATTTTTAAAAAATATATGAAGAGATATATGATATGATATGGGGGGATATGAAGAGTGTGACAAATTATCGTCCTATAACATTACTTAGTGTAATACCTAAAGTCTTTGAGAGTATTGTTTTTGATATGATTTATCAACAGGTGGAACACTTGATAATTGATGAACAGCATGGCTTTACGAGAAGAAGATCAGTACTGACTAACTTAACACTGTTTACTAACTTTGTAGCATCTCATATCGGAAAAAGTCTTCAAGTGGATGTGATTTATACTGATTTTGCGAAAGCTTTTGATAAGGTTGGATTAAGAGTTATCTTGCTGATAGATATTCATCGGTACGTGTTGAACATGAGTTTTCAGATGTTTTTTTAGCGACCTCTGGTGTACCCCAGGGATCGAATCTTGGACCACTTTTTTTCTTGCTTTTTATTAATGATATCAACACTATATTTAAACATAGTTTATGCCTTTTGTTTGCCGATGACCTTAAATTATTTAAAACAATAACTTGTGCGCAAGATGCTATTGATCTTCAATCAGATCTTGATCAGCTTTATAATTGGTCATCAAACAATAAATTGTTTCTTAATATAAAAAAATGTAATATAGTCTCATTCAGCAGACTGAGAGAATTTGAACAGTATCAATATGTTATTGATGGTGAAATTCTTTCAAGAGTGTCCATGATCCGAGACCTTGGAGTTACACTAGACTCAAAGTTGGATTTTAGATCACATATCTTAAATGTTGTTAATAATGCGATTAGAGTTTTGGGCTTTGTCACCAGAAACGCTTCGCGGTTCAAAAATGTCTTGGCGTTAAAGGTATTATACTTTTCATTAGTTAGACCAATTATTGAATTTGCTTCGCTAATTTGGTCACCTTATCAGGAATATCTAATAATTGCTCTTGAACGTGTTCAAAACAAATTCATGCGATTTGTTGCTAGAAGAACGGGGATACCATATGATAGATATAGTCATGATTACACTGAATTAAGACGTATATTGGGCATTCCTCTATTGAGGGACAGATTCTTATTTACTGATTTATTATTCATGTTCAAAATTATCAATGGTATTATAAATTGTCCTCCGCTTTTATCACTACTTAACTTTGCTGTCCCTTATAAACCATCTAGATATTCAATTTTGTTCAGGCAGTCAGTGCAAAGATTAAATTATATAGATAACTCTGTTGTGATCAGAATTACAAGAGAAGCCAACGAACACCATAATAGCATAGATTTTTATGGTATTTCTTTAAGTAGATTTATAAGCAACTTGCGTACTGAGATATTTGGTACTAATTGAGAATTGATGTTTCAATGTTTCGCCGAGTCATTGCATCTTATATTTTTATAATTAAGTACATTTGTACGAAAGGGCACTGCCCGTGTAAAAATAAAATAAATAAATAAATAAAAAAACCAATGGAATGTAAGCATGACAAGTTACTTTGCACAATTTATATTAATCTTTTAATATTTAATGCTTTATTTAACGCAATTATTACTAGAATTGAGTCTCTGGATATTTATTTACCTTTAGCAAATCAAATTTTTTCATATTTTGTCATTTTAACATTTATTTTTGCGAATTACCAAGTTTCTACCCAATGTCCACTCAATGTCTACTTTACAAAGTGGACGTTGAGTGATTTTATTCCGCCAGGGGTCGTAGTTGAAAATCAATTTTTTTCTCCGAAATGTTGTTTTTCATAGCTCTTTAATAAACGATAGTTATCTTTTTTTTAACTAAAATAATTTTTTTTTACGAAGTTATAACAAATTTAATTTTCCAACTTGGAAAATAAACGTTTACTAAAAATTAAAATTTTTTAATTGTTATAACTTTTTTAATAATCGAGATACCTATTCAATTTCAATTTTTTAGATTCTCCAATGTTGTTACGTTTTTTTTTTACTACATATTTGAAATATTGAATAAAAATCGAATCAATTTTTATATAATATAATATTTTATTTTCAGGCCTTGGATTGACTTTCAAGTTGTAAAAAAAAAATTTAGAATCGATTTAACAAGATTTTTTTAAAATTAAATTTCAGAAGAGATGAAATTTTTGGGGAATGAATATGGCATGAATATGTTCTAAAAATCATTGGTTAGAATTTTCATTTTATGGAATTTCATTTGTCATAATTATTTTTTAAGCCGAATTTTTATTTGTTCGAATTAGTATTTTACAAAATTTTCATCAAAATGATTTTTCTATATTATAGAATTTTTAAATGACTGAAAATTTACTTCATAGAATTTTTATTTGTTCGAATTTTTATTTGTCAGAATTTTTATTCGTTCAAATTTTTATTTAATATAATAAGCATTTTAAAAAAAATTTTATTGTGTATAATTTTATTGCATAGAATTTTCATTTTATTCTTTCAGATGAATTTTTAATTTGTTCGAATTATTATTTCATATAATTTCCATATTACAGAATTTTTACTTAACCGAAAAATCATTTAACAGAATTTCTATAATTAATAGAATTTTCATTTGTCCGAAATTGCAAATGGCCGAACAAACAATCGATTTTCGTGCGATTTTTAGAAAATCAACCAATCAAAAATTATTCATAAAATTGTGATTGGTTGATTTTAAAAAATCGCGCCAAAATCGATTGTTTGTTCGGCCATTTTCAATTTCGGACAAATGAAAATTCTATCATTTATAGAAATTCTGTTAAATGATTGTGACAAATGAAATTCCATAAAATAAAAATTTTAACCAATATATGATTTTTAGAACATATTCATGTGTCTTAATTTTTGTTTGTTGAAATTATTATTATTATTTTTAGAAATTTCAAACAATTATTGAATTTTTAAAAATATTTAATTGCAAAATATTTTCAATTAAAATTATTGAATAATTAATATTTTTAAAGAATTTTTTTTAAATTATTGAGAATAATGAATTTAGCAAAGAATTTTGAAAAAATCACATTTCAAAAAATCATAACTTTCCATAATTTTTATTTAAAAAAAATAAAAAAAAAACGTATTTTCTTATTTTTCATAAAGATATAAAAAAATGCTCTATTAAACAAAAATTTTATTTTCACATGGAAAGCCTCATTAAATAAAAACGTGTCGAATCTCGAATACTCGAATACTCGAATCTCCCTTACGAAGATAAAATGCTATTATTTTTTTTTCTTTTAAACGAGTGGGAGGAATGTGTGTTTGAAAAAAAAATCAATGACGCTGCGTGTCTGTTTGGAATAATTACATTTCTATTTATGTAGGGGATAAATAATCTCATAATTAACGGAAATTTTTCCTCTTTGGGAAGTACCGATTTAAATAAATTAATAACTTTTTACAATAATGAAAGCAAAGATAACGGTAATGTTTTTTTTTTACTCATACAAAAAAAATATACCGTTACTACATTTTACGAATAGAAAAAAAAATAGTAAAAGCAAAAAAAAAAAAAGAAGGAGAAAACTTACCTCGGATTTTTCGAAGCCATCTGGATTCATGGAGGGCATCAAGAAAATGTCGGTTGTATCGACAAGTCTTGTAACTCGTGAATCTAATCCATAATTATGTAGAAGATATTGTGCAAGATAAATGAGAAGTTCCCTTCCAACTGATTCATCACCATGCATATTGGCAACATATTTAACCATTGGCTCGCCAATATCACGTTGCGCGACATTTTTCGATATTTCAATAGTTAAAAGTTCTCTGCCCTCAACTGATTTTCCAATGCTGTGAATTCTCACAAGATTGGGATATTGAATACTGAGATTTTGAAAAAGATTTTCAAGTTCATGATAATGTGTGTAATGAGGTAGAATAAAATCTTCGTTTAATGATGTTCGTAGTGTGCCCGAAAACGCGGAATTTGCCAAAAGTCCAAGTAACAAAATACTTGTGAATAAATTCATTTTGTTTTAGATTTTAGATTCACTTTTTTTTTAATTTTAATAAAAACGATTGTTTCTTTTGTTTTCTTTTTTTTTTTTTAAAGGGACATTGTGAAATTTTAATTTTGCACTTGCAACTTATTTGAAACTTCACTACTGGAACATCCAGTAGTTTTGGAAGTTACAACTCTTCTGAGTTTGCGAGAGCTGTTGAAGTGTGCTGAGTCGAAACGGGATAAAGGAAAGAAAAAGTAGTATATACATTGAATTTAACGCATATCAGTTGACGCAGAAACGTCATCGGCGCGATTAACCATAGAATATAATGAAGTGAAGTTCTTCAACAACTAATTTTGTTAAGGCCAACGCACAATAAATTCTTAAGGGTAGGACCCAGTAATGCAGCACCACCTATATCGAAACTAAAATTTTGGAAAATTATTTACAGTATTTACTTAAAATCAAGACAATAATACAATATAATACTTTTTCCTTTAGGATAACTGATTATTGTCAACAAATATATCAGCTAAAACTTTTTTTGAGTTAAAATATTGAAAAAAAATTAATGACGATAAATTAAATATGAGCATATTTTTTTAGGAAAACTTTTAAGATATTTTCACGGAAATAACAAAAAATAATGCAATTTTCATTTGGAGGATTTATAAACACTAAAAAAATATACCAGCTAAGATTCACCAATCACGTCCCATTGTGGAACCAGCCTAACAATGCGACGCGTCGCGTCTGCGTTTGGCTCCATTCTGCAGAGGGCCCTAAGCAAATGGGATTACGTCGCGTCTGCATTGCGTTTTGCTTCATTCTGGAAGCGGCCTGTACGCCTTCCCATGACAGCGTAAGGCCGCTTCCAGAATGGAGACGCAAACGCATCCTAAGGCCCTCTCCAGAATGGAGCTAAACACAACGCAGACGCGACGCATCACAATGCTAAGTAAATGGGGCTGCGTTGCGTTTGGCCTCATTCTGGAACAAGCCCTAGGCCCTCTCCAGGCCGATTCTAGAATGAAGACGCAGACGCATCCCCATTTGCTTAGCATTGCGATGCGTCGTGTATGCGTTTCAGCTCGTTCCAGAATGGAACTAAACGTAAGCAGACGCGACGCAGCCCCACTTGCTTAGCATTGCGATGCGTCGCGTCTGCATTTTACTCTATTCTGGAACTAGCCTTAGGTCCATTCCACAATAGCTAAACGCAAAGTTAAAGCGCACGCAAAGATGACGCGCGCGTTGGTTCTAACCAACCAAACCAACGCGCGCGTCATCTTTGCGTGCGCTTTAACTTTGCGTTTAGCTATTGTGGAATGGACCTTATGCTGACTCTACATTGGCTGCACAAACGCGTACGTGAACGTACTGACGTCACAATGTTATTCAAATGGGTGACGTCACACGTTCAAGTACACGTTTGCGCAGCCAATGTAGCGTCAGCATAAACACCGCCTGAGGCGTAATGAGTTGGTGGAAAGCGGAAATCATGAAAGTGTCAGAGGTTAGTATATAACGAAATGCTATTTTTCATCTGTTAAATGATATTCTTTTTTTTATTTAAATATCTGCTTAAAATTACCATTTGGTAGTATCGAAAACGTCACATTAAAATACCCATTGCCGTTTCCGTATTTCCGTGGAATAAAAGAGAAAAAAATAAAAAAAATATCTTCTATCCTTTTCTAGCTAACGTGTTGCGATGACAACACGTTAGTTGGAAAAGAACAAAAATGTGTGTGCATATCTGTCCACGATTGTACGTTGTCCAAAAGACCCTTGACATAGTGTCATACTTCGGACATTCCTCTTTGTGTACGAACGCAAATATTGTAAAAAGACCTTTACAATTTTTAATGCGCCTTAAGTTTGATTGGTTAAGTGTAAATGCACCCTAAATTCAATATTGCCGGGTGTTATATATGAAATTTAAGGGTATTTATGGTAAATTTCAACTGAAAATTTCCAATAGTCCATTTTCCATATATTCGTGACCTATCCGCTTTGATTCGCATCATTCTCTTGTTTTGTGATAATTGTCCATTGTGGTTTGTCGTTTATTCATTTGCAGTATGTAAGCGGTGACTGAAAATATTAGAATTCAATATTTTCCGTGTTTAAGTGAAAATTAACATCATTATAGTATGTCGAACAAGGTAAATTTCACATTTTCATCAACACAAATTCAATAGAGACGCACTCTTGTGTTTTTTTCACACACACACACACACATATACACATAGACACAAATTTTTATACATCAAAATTGAACGGCTAGTTTATTTGACGAGAGCGTTAAAATAAAAAAAAAAAGTGAAATCTCTTTATTTTTTTTTTTTAAATTTACAGCAAAAAATAATAATCACCGAAGCAGAAAAAGCATATCGCACAAAATACTATCACTGTAAGTGAAGTTTATTTAGAATCATTTTTTTTTTTTTGAAAATTAAAAATTCTGCGTTCTGTTTGTTTTTTTTTTTCTTTTATTTCTTAATGTTATTTTAAAAAAAAGTAGTGTAAATTTATGTTTAATTTCATAAAGATAAGACAAAAGGATTTTTTGCATTTTTCGTTTACGAATTGAATGTAAATATAAATATCGTGAAAAAAATACTTTCCCTTAGATCCAATTAGCCAAACAAAATTAATTTCATCAAAAATTTAGTGATAGAATATTATATTCAATTATATGTTAATTATAATGGAAATTTTAGACAATTGAAATTCACATGAAAAGCATTATTTTTCGTTTATTTATTTATTTAGAGCTTAATTGATGTCATTTAGAAGAAATGTTTAAATTTTGATGTTCATTTTGGTTATAAATTTATCGATCATACGTAGAAGGTCAAAGGAATGTAATTAAATATATATATATATATATATGTGTGTATATATATTTATATGTATATATATGTATATATATATATATATATATATATATATTGCCCAGAAATTTTTTTTTTATCAATTCCAAAGAATGAAATGAAAATTTTCTTTTTTTGTAAAAAAAGTAAATCTAAATTTTTTAAATTTAATTATATTTTAAAAATGTAAATTTTTAAATAATTCATTTCACAAAATTAATTAACTAAAAAAAAAAATATTGTTTGAAAGTAAAAAAATAAATAAAAAAAAATTATTATTTATTCTTATGAAATTTTAAATTAAGAAATTATAATTTTCAAAAACAAAAAAAAAAAATAAATAAAATTTATAATTATTATTTATTTTTTAAGTATTAATTTTAATTAAGTAAATGATGGTTTTCATATGATATTTTTTTAAAACTATTTTTAAAAAAATAAAAGAATAATGTTAAATTTTTTTTTTTTTAAACAGTTTTTCAAGTGGTGAGCAAACGACAACTTCTTTGCACTTCCTGTGGCAACGAACTTAGTCCATCATCGAAATTTATATCCAGTCATCCTATTTTAGAAATTTTACAATGTACTGTAAGTATAATTCATTTATAAATTTAAAATGTAAATTTAGTTTTAAAATATTTTTTTAGTTTAGTAACATTATTTCTCACAATTTTTGGCTTAATGAAGAAAATATAATTTATTAATGTTGAATTATTTTCTCGTTTTTTTTTTTTTTTTTTTTTGAAAGGATAGAAATTAAAAATCAAAAGTTTTTTTTATTTTTACATTTATTTATTTATTTATTTATTTAATACATTCCCCGCAGTCCTTAGGGACCATAAATGGGTAACTAAATTTACATACATTACAACGTTTCATTGACTGATTTTGTCAATCTTCTGAACATGGTCATTTTGTGCAATTTTTTCGAGAAAAAAAAAACCGATTTCTTTCCTTTCTAGCACGTAGCCATCAAATCCAATCGGTCTCGCTATATTTTTCCTGTAATCTACACGTGAAAATACTTATGTTTACTAAATTGCAGTTCTTCATATAGAAAAATGTAGAAGTTAAGGGTATAGGTCCTAGTAAATGCAGCACCACCAGGCCTCATATTATACGACTATTTCGACTATTTCCAACTTTTTTTTTCAAAAATACGACTTTTTTCGACTTATTTTAATAAAATGCGATTATTTCGACTTTTTTTTACATTTTTAACAAAAATTTTTAATTAAAATATATATATATATTTTTTTTAGTAGGTATAAAATGCAGATCTTCTTCATATCTTCTTTATTTCAATTATTTAACAAATTTTTAACAAAAATTCTTCACTAAATTAATTATTTTTAATAATTTTAATGAAATTCATCATAAATTCAATTATATCAAATTATTTTTCAATTAAAATTTTTATGAAATTTAACATTTGTTCATAATTTTAAAAAAACTATCAAATAAAATTACTAAAAATTTTTAATTCGAAATCATAAATCAATTCAAAATCAAATAAAATTTAATTATTTTCAAAAATTTCAATTCAAAATCAAAGAAAATTTAATTATTTTCAAAATTTTCAATTCAAAATCAAATAAAATTCAATTATTACCAAAATTTTCAATTCAAAATCAAATAAAATTCAATTATTACCAAAAGTTTCAATTCAAAATCAATTAAAATTGAATAATTATCCAAAATTTTAATTCAAAATTAATTAAAATTGAATAATTATCCAAAATTTCAATTCAAAATTAATTATTATCAAAATTTTCAATCAAAAATCAACTAAAATTGAATTATTATCGAAAATTTTAATTATAATTCAATTATTTTCAAAAATTTGAATTTAAAAGCTTTTAAAATTTAATTATTTCTAAAATTTTCCATCGAAAATTTTTTGAAATTTAACAATTTCAATTATAACTCTAAGGAAATTCAATTATTTTAAACTATTTTTATAATATTCTTTGAAAATGCAACTATCTGAAACCATTTTTCAATGAAAAATGGTTTTCAAATTATTATTTTTTTAGTGACATCATCAAAAAATTTTAATTAAAAATCACTTGAAGTTCAATTAATTATAAAAATCTCAATTGAAAATCTTTGAAAATTCAATTACATTTAAAAAATGTTATCGGAAATTATTTGATAAATTTATTTTTAGTTCTGTAAAATTTAATTATTGTCTGAAAATTAACAAAATCTTTTAAAATTCAATTATTTCTAAAAATTTCAACTTTAACTATTTTAAAAGTATTATTATTTAAAAAGAAAAATTTATTTAAAAATCTGTAAAATATTTTTGTTGAAATAAAAAAAATCGACTTTTTTTTGGAATATAAATCGGGACGCATGATTATGTTCTAAAAATCATTAGTCATAATTTACATTTTATCGAATTTTATTTGTCCTAATCAGTTTTGAGCCGAATTTTAATTTGTTCGGAATAGCATTTGGCATAATTTTTATCAATTGGATTTTCTATATGGCATAATTTTTATATAACGGAAAATTCAACTCACAGAATTTTTATTTCTTCGAATTTTTATTTGTCAGAATTTTTATTTGCTCTAATTTTCATTTAACATAATCGGCATTTTAAAGAATTTTTATTGGGTAGAATTTCATTGAATATAATTTTCATTTAGATGAATTTTCATTTGTTCGAATTATTATTTGATATAATTTCCATATAATCAATTTTTCATACTACAGAATTTTTACTTAACCGACAAATCATTTAATAGAATTTCTAATTGATAGAATTTTCATTTGTCCGAATTTTCAAATGGTCGAACAAACAATCGACAGAAAGATTTCAGCGCGATTTTTAAAATCAACCAATCACAATTTTATGAATAATTTTTGATTGGTTGATTTTAAAAATCGCGCCGAAATCTTTCTGTCGATTGTTTGTTCGGCCATTTGAAAATTCGGACCGAAGGTGTACGGAACCCTAAAAAGGAGAATTTTTATTTTCAATTTCTACCCTCCCAAAAAATTCAAGAAAATAATTCAACTTTAATCAATTAAATTATTAAATATCTATCTTCAAATTTCACATTCGGATCAGACCATTATATTTCGAATAAAATCGTTGCGGCCGAATTTTAGAAAAAATTGATTTTTTCAGAAATGATTCTGTATAATATCGAGGGAATAAAATAAAAAGAATTACATATGTCAAACATTTTTTTATTTCTCTAAAATATATGAATTTAAAGTGGAAAAGATACGCAAAAGTATCACTTTTTTAGCTATTAGAAAATGTATTTAAAAAAAAACATAGAAAAATTATTAAAAGTGTAAAAAATATTATTGATTCTTGTTTAAAATTGGTTGATTATTTATATTTTAATTATTAAACTACTAAATAAATTAAAATAATAGGTATAATATATTTTTAAAGTTGGTTCGTTAAATAACCTAATTTTGCGATTTTTATCAATTACATAATTATAAGAAAGCATAAAAATTGAATTAAATAAAAACTCACCGAATATAGAGTATTCTTGATGAAGTTTTAGATTTTCTTAGCATTTTAATTAATTTTACTTTAAATAAACAATAAAATATTAAGTTGAAAGTACGCGATCTCAGAATTTTTTCGAACTTTGCAAATTAATATCTCCGTTAAAGAAAAATCAAATAATTTATCACTTTTACAACTTTTAAATCACACCGAAATTTATACTTTAAATTCATATTTTAAGAGAAATAAGAAATTTTTTTTTACATAATTCTTTTTATTTAATTTCCTACATGTTATGCAGAATCATTTCTGAAAAAATCAATTTTTTCTAAAATTCGGACGCAACGACTTTATTCGAAATATAATTGTCTGACCTATTGAATCGACATATATGTCTCGAGATCGATGTTTAACTTTTGATAAATCAATTTTTTACCATATCAATGAATAAAGGATGAAAAATTAATAAAAATATTAAAAAATTTTGTTTTAAAAATTTTAACTGCTGTTATTCATTATTAATATAATATATTTTGATTAAATTTATTGAATATTAATTATTTTCTATAATGTAAGTGATATATAATAATGAATTAAATAAAAAGTTAAATAATATTTCATGATTTATATATTTTCTTGATTGTACCCGGTTTTGCCCCACCATCGGGGCAAAACAGGATACTTTGCATTTTTTTTTGAAAAACCTTGTTTAAATTGATCAACAAATTTTTTTTCATGTCATCGACCTTATTTTCTCATTCTCTAATATTCAAGGAAGAATTTTCAATGAAACTTGAACTAATTTGTTAGATTCTTATCTTTGTAAACCGAGAATTACAAAAAGGTACCCGATTTTGCCCCACTCTCCCTTCCTTGACATAAACATATCGTAAGGTGTAATAGTCGTCATTTGTTTTTTTTCTTGTTTTGAAGAATGGATTCTAGCTAAGAAATATTTAGTTTTAGTTTTTAAAATATAATTATTTCAGCTCTAAAGAAAAAAATTGATCACGCAAAAGAATTATTGTTTCTAAACATATTTCCAACATTTATATATCTAAAAATCAGATAAATATTTTTTACATTGATTTTTTTTTTTGGAATTTCCCCTGTTTCGAAATTAATAAGCTCAAATTTAAATGTTACTAAATTTTATATCTCGTGTGGAAATCTTTCTAAAGTCGCCCAAAAGTGAGACTAGGCGCCAATCTGGGCCCAACTTGGCTTCCCAAAGTTTGAAAAATGAAGAATTAAGTTAATTAAATTATTATTTAAATAATATGCTGAACATATATAGAAAAAAGCGCAACTATGAAAAGCTGAAAAAAATTTTTGTTTTTCATTGGTACTTGGGCAAAGTTTGGGTCAACCCAACCTGGCCCCAACTGGGATTTCCCAAAGTATTCCAAAACTGAAATTTAATTTAATATTCTGTTATAAATAAATAAAAAACTTGAGAAATAATAAAACTAGTTAATTATATTTATATTTAATTTATATGCCGTTTGGAGATTTTTCCAAAAGCCAATATGGGCAAAATTCACATTTAAGGAAAAATAAGTAAATTGAAAACTTTAGTTAATTATATTAATGCTTAAATAATACCTTCCCTGAATAAATAAAATGTATGTCAAGTTCTTAGTTTTTAATTTATTCAACTTAGCTAATTAATAATAATAACTTAGTTGTTTTTTGAGTCTTTTTGACTTTTTTGACTCTGACCCCATTCTCAATCATTTATTTCCTATTTTTATTCAATTTATTAATAATAATTGAACATAATTTGAACAAAATTTTGACTAGAACGTCAGCTATACTTTGGTACTTATTAATCGAAATTATTACTGGTAAAAATGTTAAATTAAAATAAATGAAATTAAGTAAGTGATTATATTTTAATTTATTGTTTAACCTAATGATATTTTTCACATCTTTGATTCAATAATTGTATGATATAAATGATACTGAGAAATTAAAACTTGTCTGCAGGTACGCGTCGTTAGCATAGTGGTTAGAGCGTTAATCTATAAGTCCGTGTGTCGTAGGTTCGATTCCCCTCGTGCGCAGTTTTCTTTATTTCATAGGTTTGCTTTATTTCTAGATTTTCATTTATAAGTTGTACCAAAACTTGAAAATCTAATACATACACTATTATTTAATTTTTAAATTATATAAATATTTTTTTTACTTTTTTTACTGATATACATTGTTTGTTAGTCGTCATCTTTAATACAATTTCATTTAAAAGGAAATTATATTTATTCATTTAATTTACTTTTTCGTTGTTAAATTATTTATATAATTATTAATTAACAATTATAAATAAAAATGGAATAACTCAATTTGGCCACAGCTGGGATTTCCCAACTTTGGGAAATTTTTGGGATCAGCGTTACGCGCCCAGTTTGGGCGTTGTCTGGGTTGCCCACTTTGGACATTGGGAAACCTAGTCTGGACCAGATTGGGGCCCAGTCGACTTTTCCACACGGTTATAAAAGAATTTATAATGAATTAAATTTTTATATTTAAAAATTGTTATTTAACTGAATTCATATTTAACGAAATTTGAATATATATTCAGGAGTACTTTTTTTTTTTGGAAAATTTTTTAATTCACCATAACTTTTTCAAAAATGAATATTTTCTGCTGAAATTTAAAATTAAGATGTTGTTTACATGAAAAATACAGAAAAAAAAATTTAAATTGAAAAATATCTTTAAAGAATTTAGTGAAAAAGGATGAAGAAAATAAAAATATTTATTTCATTTCATTTATTTTATTTAATACTAATTAATCATCTTAATATAATTGTAATTGTTTTTTAATCTAATTTTCATTTAGCAAAATATTTACTTAACAGAATTTTGATTTCCGCCAAAACCTTTCTGTCACTAAGCTGAAGTACCCAACGTTTATGATAAACAATTTTTAAAGAAATAATTTTTTAAAATGAAGAATTCTATAATTTTTGCCCTAAAAAATATTTCTTGTAGTTTTCATTAATCAACAAATTATAAAAAAAAAAAAAAAAATTATGGAATTTTTTTTTTTGATAATCCATTTACAATTTCAGTCAAATGAAAATTCGAAGTTTTAAAATTTCTATCAAATGACAATGCGTTATACAAATAAACATTCTGTCAAATTAAGTTTTCGTAAAATAAGAATTCTGCCATTTCAAAATTCGACTCCGTAAATATTCGGTCTAATGAGAATTCTGTTAAATTTGATTAAATTGAAATTCTTTTAATTAAAAATTTAGTTAAATAAAAATTCTTTTAAATTTGAATTCATGTTAATTTAAAACTCTGTTAAGTGAATATTCTGCTAAAATGGAAATTAAATTAAAGAACAATTTATGTTAATTATAAAAATTTTTTATTATGCAAATTTTGTTAAAGAAAAATTATATTAAATGAAAATTCGGTTAACTATAAAATATATTTGATAAAAGTAGGACTAAATAAAAAACGCGAGAAATTAATAATACAAAATAACTTTTTTTTTTTTGAAACGAGAAATATTTGATTTTGATTTTTTTTTTTATATTAAAATACAATTTAAATATTGACGTAAAATAATAATAATAGTTCTTATTATTTTTTAATTTTGATTCAGAGTAATCGACATCTTCTTTATTATTATTTAAAATACGAACGAGTGATAAATTTCTAATTTATATATTTCAAATTTATGTTTTAGACGTGTTTGGATAAATATCAAAAAACTAATTTTAATTCTGATAACGGCAAATGTCTTATTTGCTGTAGCAGCAGTACATACAGTTGTAGCAATAAATCCTGTCCGTGTCAGTTTTGCAGGGTAAGTATTTAATAATTTAATTGTAATAAAACTAAAATTTTTAATTTAACTGACAATTTTTTAATAAAATGAAAAGTCTTTGTAATTTTGACGGAATATAAAGCTTTGTCAATTTATTGCTTAAAAACAAAAACAGATGCCATTTTGAAAATTTCAGGGTTTTTTTTAAAAAGGTTTCAAAGTTTATAAAAATATTTTTTTTACAACAAAATTTGATTGCGCACAAATTTAAATATTAAGAATAAACATTAATTTATAAATAAGTTATTTAAAAAATTGATATTTTTTAATTTAAAAATTTTTTTTTATTAAACTTCAATGTCTTTGGCGTAAAAAAGGTTCTTATCATATTTTCAAAATTTGGAAAAATAAAGGAGTTGTAATCAAGTGAAAAAAAAAATTGTCATGAAATTTTCAATGCAAATATTTTGAAAAATAATAACAATATCGAATTCATATTTGGTACAGTTATTTAAGACCTAAAAAACTACTTATAAATAAAAAATAATACAAATCTGAGACATGATCTTTAACACTCTTCCGCGAGATTATCCATTAGTCAATTTTCAAATTTTTACCAATAATTGAATTTTAGAGAACTTTTTAAAAAAATTTTATAAAATTTTTTTTTTAATTAATTGTTTGAAGAATTTTATTAAAATTATTGAAAACAATTAATTTGACGAAGAAATTAAAATAAATTTAAACTGTATTTAAAGTTTTTAATAATAATTAAATAATAAATTTAAAAAAAAAATAAATTTAAATTTAAAAATTGGTCACCTTCACATTTAAATCGAACTGAATTCTACACGAATTTATTGTTTATGTATTTAAAATAAAAATGAAAAATGTCAATTTTCTTGTAAAGAAATTTCGAAAGTTTTTTTCAGAATCATTTTCTGAAAGTATTAATTTTTTTTTTAAATTAGTCCGCAACGACTTTGGTTGAAATATAATTTTCTGATACTAATACAACTTTTTTTTTTATATAAAAAAATAAATTCCATGAGAATTAAAATTAAAGTGTTAAAAGCAGTATTTTTAATTTAGAAATTGTTTAAATAATTAAATTATCGAAAAATATAATTAAAAAATTTCTGAAAATAATCAAATTTAACGAAGCTGAAGTAACGTTTATGATAAACGATTTTTAAAGAAATAATTTTTTAAATTGAAAAATTCTATAACTTTTTGCTTAAAAAATATTTTTTTTTATAATCTGTTGATTAATGAAAACTACAAGAATTATTTTTTCGGCAAAAAATTATAGAATTTTTCAATTTAAAAAAATATTTCTTTAAAAATTGTTTATCATAAACGTTGGGTGCTTCAGCTTTGTCAAATTTACGGAGAATTTATTCAAAATTTTAAATAATAATAATTTAGAATATTTCAAATTAGATTATATTCAAATAATTCAATTTACGAAGAATTTATTGAAAATTTTTTGAAAAATGTAAAGTTTTTATAAGAATTAAAAATTATTACGTTTTAAAAATGAATCATGAAAAAATTATTTTCGATTTTGAAAACAATAAAAAGACATTGAAATTTTATTTTGTCAAAAATTGCTGATCATCTAATTAAAGAAATTTTGATCACAATCTTTGAAAATCCCACGTAATCTTTCCAAAAATGAAAATTTCTTTTTTTTTTTCAAAATCCTTAAAATATGCAAGTAAAAGAATTTTTTGTTATTTCAAGTCGTTAGAATTTGTATAAACGTTTCTAAAACAAAATTACAATTTTTTTTGTTTGTTTTTTAAAGTCTTTTTGCTTCTTTACTTACATAAAAAGAAAAAAAAAATAAAATTGTTTAGGTTTGTTTAACTTAATAGTTAGTCGGTTTTGTGAATTTATTTTTAAAATATCAATTGCTCGCTGCCAATTAAAAAAAATTCGAATTAAATATCAATATTAATAAGTAAATTTTTCGTAATATTCACAATTTATTGATTTTTAGAAATGCATTAAAAGAAACGTAAATAAATGCATTCAAGAGGCTGAGAAGGACGACTGGAAATGTTTTGTGTGTAACGTGAAGCCATTTTGGGAATTAAGAGGAATCTGTGCAGCTATTATGGCTTTACCAAACAAGTAAGAATAAATTTTAATTTTTAATTAAAAAAATTTTTTTTTTTTAATTTTTACATGTCTTATTCATTTTAACTTATTATTAATACATTTATTAAAATTATATGGGATTCGGTAATAATTGACAAATCGCTTCTATTGCAACATTTTTTTTTTTTTTTTTTTTTTTTTTTTTTTTTTTTTTTTTTTTTTTTTACGAAACGAAAAATTTAAAAAAGAAATATTTTTTATAAACGAAAAATTTATTTTTATTAAAATCTTTGTTTTAAAATGATGAAAAATTAAAAAATAGAAATAATAGATATTTATCAAAAATAATTTCAGGCGTCGCAATGCATATTCTTATTCGCTTTTCCCTCTGTAGTTCTTTCTGTAGAATTCCTTTCCCAGTGACTAACATTTCCCATACACAATTTTTTATTATTCCCAGAAAAAAATTTATATGATTTATATATTATTTAGCCACGATATTTTTGCAAGAATTCTAATTTCAAGAAAACATCGCTTATTATTTGCAAAAAAAAAAAAAAAAATGTATATTAAAAAAAAAAACAGTCCGAAAACCTTTCGTCTTCTCGAAATGCCTCCATCAGAAAGAATCAACACTCGAAGAGCGAATAGAAGTTTGCATGCAACGTTCCACTGTGCAATAGAAACAATTTTTAAAAAAATGGAACTGAAACTTTGTTTTCAGACGACAATCAAAGCGGAATAAAGAGAAAATCGATTCTCCCTCTCTACAGAAAGAAGCGCGAAAATCACATAGAACATTCAAGATACGTAATAAACTTTACGATTCCTCCAGTGGTGAAAATTCAAATGACAATTATAATCGTCCACTTTATAAAGATGGTTTAACTGATGATGAAATTGTTGATAAAAATTCTTCATCCTCCGATGATTTTGAATCGTCACGAAAAAAAACAAACATCAATCGACGAAATTCGAAAAAAACAAGAAAACCCTTTGTCACTAATAGTAATTCAAATTCAAGAAAAACGGAAAAATTGGAAAAATCAGAAAAATTAGAAAAAGATGAAAAAAAAGTTTCCGACAAGAATAATAGAAGAAAACTTTATTCTTCAATTAAGGAAAATATTGAAGTCACTTCAGTTGATGCAATAACTGATGATGACAATGATGATGACGACGACGACGATGATGATGATGAAAAAACAAAACAAGCAACATTAAAATTTCACAATAGTATTTCAATTCATTTCAAAAAATTGCGAAAATCACTTAAGAAAATTTCTTCAGAAATCGATAATTGTGAGGAACAATGTTTAAATGGTAATTTTAAAACTAAAAATGATGCTCTTGATATAACAAAACGTTTAGAGAATATTCTCAAAGAAACTGAAACCACAACAATTGAAAGTTCAAAAGAAATTAATAAAACCTATCAATCATGGTCAAGAAATTATAGTTCATATTTTAAATTAAAAAATGGATACAAACGAAGAAAAAAAGTGAAAAATAGTTCAACAAATGATGATAATGATGATAATGAAAAAAAAAGTAACACCGATGATGAGCCAATAGAGAAAAAAAGAATTTTAGAAATAACAAACAATGAAGTACCATCTGATTGTGATAGCGATGAAATATTTTCCGGCAATGATATAACTCAAATTCGTGAAAATGAAAATTCATCAAATAAATCAAAATCCTCCGAATTAAATGACAATGAACAAACAATAAATAATTCAAATTCTTCTTTCGATGAAAATAATAAAGAAACAAAGAAGAAAAATTCAAATAAAGATTCCGATTTCGATGATGATTTGAGAAAAAGAAGAGAAAAATTAAGCAATGGAAAGGAAAAAAATAAAAATGATGAAGAAAAATTGGCAAAAGAAAAATTACTTGCATCAAGTAGTTCTGAAACTAAAATTAATACAAGTGACACAGAATCGGAAAAAGAATCGAAATCCGATGAAAGTGCTTCCAAAAATGCTTCCAAGAAATGTAATAAAGAAATGAGGGAAACTGATTCTGAGAAAGAGGAGAAACAAGAAGAATTGGCAAAGAAAAAATTGTTGGAATCAAGTAGTGATTCGGAGAATGAAGAAACGAATTTATTAAACGAAGAAGAAAATAATGATGAAAGTACAGAAATAGGAAATAAGAAAAAAGAGAAAGAAAAGGAAAAATTACTCGAATCAAGTGATTCGGATTCGAATTCAAATTCGAAAAAATCAAAAATAGAAAATATTAAAAATACAACGAAAACTTCTGAAGCGAAAGCAAAGGAAAAATTACTCGAATCAAGCGATGATTCAGATGGGGAAAAAGAAGAAAATGCAAAGAAAAAATTACTTGCTTCAAGCGATGATTCAGACGTTGAAACAGAAAAAATTGATAAAACAAAAAATACAGAAGAAAAAGTAAAAAAAAAATTACTCGCATCAAGCGATGATTCAGAAATAGAAAAATCATCAAAAGAAAAAAATTCCGATGAAAGAGGAAAAAAAAATTTATCATCGAGCGATAATTCAGAAAAAGTGGAAATTGAAAAAAAATCTAAAATTTCGCAAGATTCACAAGAAAAGATAAATGAAAAATTACTCGATTCAAGTGACGATTTAAATTCAATGGAAAACATTTCTAACGATGAAGAAACAAATTCCAAAGAAATGTCAAAAAAGAAAAAATTAAATGATTCCGATACGAATTCAAAAGAAAATAAATTAAATCAAAAGAAAAACGATAAGGAAATAATTGAAGAAACACCATCACAAAAACATCAATTGGAAGAAACGGCAAAGAAAAAATTACTTGAATCAAGTAATGATTCAACATCTGAAAAAGAATCAAGCGAAGAAATTGTAACTCAACACGATGAAGTGGAGGCAAAAAAGAAATTACTCTATTCGAGTGATTCGGAGAAGGAAACGGAAAAAACTAAGGAAGAAAAGGCGAAGAGTAAATTACTTGAATCTAGCGATAATTCCCTGGATGATAAAGAAGAAGAAAAAGAAATAGAAAAAGAAGGAAAAGAAGATAAAAATGAAAAAAATTTGGAAGAGAATGCTAAGAAGAAATTATTAAGTTCAAACAGTGATTTATCATCGATTGACGATTCACGAGTTGAAGATACAATGAATTTTGATGGAATTGGAAGTAATTTATCATCGTCGGAAGATGAGAAGAGTCATGATTTATTTAGTTCACTTGAAGTTGTTGAAACGCGAAAAAGAAAGAGAAGCCAATCGTCTGATGATAATTCTGAATCCTGTCGATCGCGACGTAAGAAAACATTTAAAATTTCCAAAAATACACATTACAGGAATGATGAGAAACTTCGTTTAGCTTGCTATGTGAAATTAGAAAGACTCAGCAGGAGAATTTTGAAAAAATATGCTAAAGCATTGCAGAAATCCAAACGACATCTGGAGCAAGAGAAGCATAAAAGGTACTCGGATTTTTCAATGACGAGGCATTTTTTTAGAGATTTCTTTTATATTTTAATTTTTCTTTTCTTATAATTTGATTTCTAATATTTTTTTTTTTCAAAAGACAAATGAATAATGTCTAAAATTAATTTTGTTAGAATTTTTAATTGATAAAATTTTTATCCCAATTATTTTTCAATAGAATTTCCATTCGAATTTTTATTCGAATTATTGACAGAATTTCCATTATGATTTTTGATATTACAGAATTTTTATATAATTAATTCACAGAATTTATATTTGATCGAATTTTCATTTGTCAAAATTTTTATTTCTTTGAATTATTTATTTAAAAGAATTTTCATTTAAGACTGTATTCTTTGTAATTACATTTAATTACAGAATTTTTTACTTAACCGCAAAAATTTATTTAACAGAATTTCTGTATGATCGAATTTTTTTATTTCACTGAACAATCGAATAAATATTCGATAGAAAAATTTTTGAGGAAATTTTTCAAATTAACCATTCAAAAATTTTTCTCTATAATTTCTGATTGGTTCGAATTTTCATTTGTTCGAATTAACTTCCATCAGAAACTTTTTTGGCCTCAAATTTTAAAATTAATTAAAACAGAAATTGCAGAAAAAAATTTTGATTAGTTAATTTTAAAATTCGCGCCCAAAAGTTTCTGATGAAAGTTAATTTGAATAAATGAAAGTTCTATCAAGAATGAAAATTCAAACAAATAGAAATTCTGTGAAGTGAATTTTCGGTTAAACAAAAATTCGGTTAAATCATTTGTTAGAATTTTTATTCTCAAGTGTTTTATACGAATTTTTGAATTAATTTAGACGAATTTTCATTTTTTGAATTAGCATTTGACAGAATTTTTTTCTTTTTTTTAAATGAATTTTTTACTTAACAGAATTTTTAGTTATAGAATTTTTATTCGTCAGAATTTTTAAAACGCCAAAATTTTGAAAATTCATCAATTACGATTATCTCGATAATTTCTTATTGGTCACTTTTAAAAATTGCGCCAAAATCTTTCTGTTGATTGTTTTATCAAACATTTACAATTTCGAACAAGTAAAAAATTCGGCATTTTTGGAATTTTGTACAAGAAAAACTTTGATACACAAGAATAATTCTGTTAAGTAAAAATTAGTTAAAAAAAAAAAATGTCATCAAATTCTAATTCAGAAAATGAAAATTCGTCGAAAAAACTAATTAAATATAGAATAAAATTCCACACTAAAATAAAAATTTTAAGCAATGATTTTTATTTATTTATCACAAAAGATTTATTGGATAATCATACGCCCGGAAAATCGATTTAATTGAAATTTTGACAAAAATTATTTCGATCAAATAAAATTCTATTAAATAAAAATTTAAAAAAAAAAACAAATTAAATTTTGACATCATTTGTGCGTCTCAAAAAATAAAATGGGCGCATGAAGTTACCAAAAAAAATAATTAATAACTAGAATTTTAAATAATTTTATTAGATATAAATTATTTTTTAAACGAATTTTCATTTTTCGAATTTGAGAGAATTTTTATTTTACAGAATTTCTCTTTCTATTAAAAAAAAATTCTGTTTAACCAAATTTTAATTTTGTAAAATTCTCATTCAACAGAATTTTAAATGATTCGAATTTTTACTGAATTTCAAATTCACCTAATCTTTATTTGTACGAATTTAATTATTTATCCGAATTATTATTTATAATAAAATTTATAAAATACCGATTATTATTTGTTTGACCGAAATTAAAAATGACCGAAAAAATAATTGAAAAAAAAGATTTCGGCGCGAATATTAAAATTAACGAATCACAATTTTCTGGACAATTTCTGATTTTTTAATTTTAAAATTCGCGCCAAAATCTTTCTGTCGATTGCTTTTTCGGACAAAAGAAAAATTCGCCGTTTTAAGAATTGTTTTAAATAAAAATTCGAATCATTTAAAATTCTGTTGAATGTAAATTTTGCTAAATTAATATTCGATTAAATTGGAATTTTTTTAAATAAAATTTTTGGTAATGAAAAATTCTGTAAAATAAAAAATTCCATAACTAAAAATAAAGTTAAGTAAAAATTTATTTAAAAAGAATTTTTGTCAAATATGCTAATTCGAAAAATAAGAATTCGTCTAAAAAAATAATTATATTATCTAATAAAATTATTTAAAATCAAAATTTTAGCTATTGATTTTTATGGTAAATTCATACGCCCCAAAAAAATTTCTCACTTTTATTTATATTAATTTTCATTCAATAGACATTTAAGTATAAAGTATTTTATAAATTTTATTTTATCTTATCACCATTTGCCCTAAAGGACAAAAATTTGGGAAAATGTAAGATTGTTTAGCAAATATTTGAACTGAAAAAAAATTTATTTAATTATAATCGGTTTCTTAACTATTATCACAAATATTTACATGAAACAAATAATTTTAAATTAAATAAACTGTATTTGAATCAATAATTTCTGTATTTGATACAAATAATAATTGACTCAAATAATAATTATTTAATACAAATAAACATTTATTTGATTATAGTCAAGTAAACGATTATTTGAAACAAATAAATTTTTTTTTTAGTTTTTTAAAATTGTTGACCCCAGAATAAAAAAAATTTTTGAATTTTACTTTTCTTCAAGTATTTATTTTTATAAAGAATGTGTGAAAATACCCGCCGGAAAAATAGGAGTCAAAACTTTTTAATTTTAAATTTACGGGATATTTTGATTTTTTTAACACATTTTAAAATTTATTCAAAAAAATACAAAAATAATTTCGTGACTTTCGTTCTCACAATAAAAGGCAAATGGTGAAAATAATAATTTTATTAAAAATGAAATATTAAAGAGAAATGAAAATTAAGATAAATAAAATTTAAGCCAATTGGTGATTATACAAACAAAATCTTGTAACATAAATCACTTTATATCACTATATATATTCAACCAAAAATTATCCAAATCCTAAAAAATTCCTTTCTAATCTTTAATATTTACTTCAATTTACGTTTAAAAATTTTTTAAAAGAAAAAACTTGCGATAAATGTTCAAAAATAAAATATAATTTATAGAATCAATTATTTTTCATTTTTTCTTTATTAATTGAAGCGAAAAAAAAATATATTTTTTTTATTTTCCAAATTCAATTATTTAGAACTTTAAATTAAAATAATTTTTATAATTAATTTTCCTTTTTTTTTGGTACAATAAAAAAAATATTAAAGAAATAAATAATTAGAGTTTTCTAAATAATGTAATTTAAAATAAAAAAAAAAAAAAATGTTAATTTGTGTAAAATATTTTATAGTCTTATTTCAATGGATAATATTGAAAAAACTCGAAAGCGAAACAAATTAGCTTCAACATCATCGGATAATGATGATTCTGAATCAAAATCAAATCGACGTAATCGAAAGAAAGCAAATGAAAAGGATGATGATACATTAATGGATCATTTGAAGAAAGTGGAAAATGGTGAAGTTGATAAAAAACAAGAGCTTATGAAAAGTTCAGAAGATGAATCATCAAATGAAATGCGGATAAGGGTGAAAAGTAAACAAGATCTTTTTAATGAAGCTGAAAAACGAGCAAAGGATTTGTTACTTTGCAGTTCTGGATCTGATGCTGGTGAGTTTTTAATTACGAGACAAAATGTTTTCTTTTTTTTCGTAGATTTAAAAAAAAAAATTAATATTAAACTTTTTTTAAAACAATTTTTCAAATTTTGAATAATTTTAGGCATTTTTTTTGTAGTATTTATTTATTTATTTATTTATTGTATTTAAAATAGAAATGCCACCCGATGTGTACGATGAGTCAGAGAAAGAGAAAGAGGGAAATAAAGACAAGAAAAATAAAGAAAAAGAAAAAGAATCGAAGAAGAAAGAAAAATTAGAGAAAGATAAATCTGAGAAAAGTAACAGCGATGATTCTTCAATTGATGAAGAGGTAAGTAAAGAAATTTTTCTTTTTTTTTTTTTTTTGGTTAGTCATTAATTTTTGTTTTCAATTACTCGCAGGAGGCTAAAAAGAAAGCGGATAAGGACAAATGGAAAAATGATAAATTACTTCGCTCGAAAATATCGGATTCAGATTCCGAGGTTGAAAAGGCAAAATATGAAAAGCGTAAAGAAAAATTGGAAGAGAAAGAAAAGAAAGACGAGTAAGTTGTTAATAAAATTTTGAAAAATCATTTTCAAATTTATTCAAAATTAATTAAATTTTGTGAATTATGAATTATGTGTTTTATTTTTTAGTTCAAGTTCAAATGAAGAGAAATCAAAAGTGGTGAAAAAGAAAAAGCGAGTGAAAAGAAAAATATTGGATTCAGATTCAGATATTGAAATTGTCAGTGAATATGACAGTTCATCGAGTTCTTCAAAAGCATCAAAAACAAAAGAAGATAAAAAAAAATCACGTAAACGAGGTGCTAAAAAATCATCAGATTCAGATGATTCACTTGAAGAGAAAAAGTAAATTTTCGTTTTCTATTTAAAAAAAAAAACAATCGTAAATAATAATAATTGAAAAAAATGTTATTTTTTTCAGACCGAAAACAAAACGAAAACGAATAAAACAAGTGAGTGACAGCGACAGTGATAGTGAAGCTGTTACAAATTCACAAAGTTCGCCAATTAAAGGTGGAAGAAAAAATATTCGTAAAGTTCTCAAGGACAAACAAGTCGCTGATGATACAAAACAAGCGGCAAAAGAAGAAGAGGAACGTCTCAAGAGAATAGCGGAAAGACAAAAAGTGGTAAGAGAAAATTTTTTTTAATTAAATAAATAGAAAAAAAAACAGATAAAAAATATTTTTAATTAGTTGAAAAAATTGGATTAATTTTTTTTTCTTTATTTCTTTCAGTATAATGAAATGTACGAGATTCGTTTGGCAGGCGAGGAGAAAGTAGAAAAATTGATATTAGATTTTGATGAGGAAACAAAGAAAGAATTAATTTCAGTTGATCCTGCATTAGTTAAACGTTTAAAGCCACATCAGGCAAAAGGAATTAAATTTATGTGGGACGCTTGTTTTGAGTCTGTGAGTCAAATTAATAATTCTAAAGGCTCTGGATGTATAATTGCCCATTGTATGGGTTTAGGAAAAACTTTTCAAGTTGTCACATTGGTTCACACTCTTTTAACTAATAAAGACACTGGTGTCAATACAGTAATGGTTGTTTGTCCATTAAGTACGGCACTAAATTGGGCAAGTGAATTTGAAATGTGGCTTAAAGATCTCAGCAATTATGATGATATTGAAATCATTGAACTTGGAAGGTTAGTGCATTTTTTTTTAACAGAAATTAATTTTTTAATTTAATTAAAGTTTCATTTGAAATTAATAATGAGATTACCACTGGTTAGAGAAATCAAGGGAAATTATAGAAAAGTCGGGGAATTTTAATAAAAATACTGGAAAAATACCAAATTTCTAAAAATGCTACTAAAATTATAATTTTTGAAATTTTCAATTCAAACTTTAACTTCTAAAAATTATTGTCTTACATTTTTATAATTGTAGACCCCGAATTGACTTTTGAAAGAATTAAAGTGAGATAAATTTTCAAAATTTCAATTCAGTTTCAAAACAAATTTTGAAAAATAATTTAAAGTTACATTTAAAAAAAAAAAGAATTTTTCAAGTCTCTTGCACATTATTCGAATTCAAAATTTCGAAAAATGTTTTAAATAAATAAATTTTTAAAGAATTTCATTAAAATATTATTGAAAAAAAAAATTAATTTTAAATAAAGATTTGTGAAATAATTGAATTTTAGAAGATTTTTAATTAAAATTTAAAAAATAATTGAATTTTATAGAGTTTGATTAAAAATTTTTTAGAAATATTTAAATTCCGGGGATTTTTAATGGAAACTTTTATAAATTTGAATTGAAATTTTTTTTTACAAGTTTCAGACAAAAATTGAATTTTCGAGAATTTTCAACTGAAATATGTTCTAAATTATTGAATTTTGATGAAGTTACAGTCAAGATTTTTTAGAAATAATTGCATTTTTTTAAGATTTCAAAAATTATAATTTTATTGTAAATATAAACATTAATTAAAAAAACAATTTAATTAATTGAATTTTTGAAAAATTGGATTAAAACTTTTGAAATAATTAATTAAACATAGAATTATATAAATAAAAATTAAGGAAAAAAATTTTCAATGAATTAACATTCAATTAATTATTCAATTAGTAATTGAATTTGTAAGAGTTCGAATTAGAATTTTTTCGAAGTAATTAAATCTCAGAAGATTTTATATTGAAACTTTCATCAATTTTAATTGATAAATTTTTTTTCCCCAATTTTTAATGAATAATAGAATTTTACAGTATTTTAAATTAAAATATTTTTAATTTCCCCGACTTGTTGAAAAACTGTATTAAAGGAATTAAAAAAATTAATTTAGCGAAGAATTTTAAAAATATTTTTTTAAAATAATCGAATTATAGAGAATTTTTTTTTATAGAAAATGTTTTAAAAAATTGAATTTTCGATTTTTGTAATTTTCCATTAAAATTTTAATAAATTTGAATTATTGAAATTTTTTAAAAATTGTATTAAAAAAATTTAATTTTATAGAATTGATAATTAAAAAACGTTTTATGCAATTGAATTTTTGAAAAACTTGTTGACAGTTATAAATAATTAATTCAAAAATTGAAGTTAAAAATTTTAGAAATGAGTTTTAAAAGAGTAATAGTTAAAATTTTTTAAACTAATTGAATTTCGGGAGATTTTTAATTAAAATTTTTGTAAATTGAAATTTTTGTAGATATTTTATAAGCTTTAAACAATAATTAAACTTTGGAAAATTTTTAATTAAAAAATGTTTTAAATAATTGAATTTTCGAAAATTTTGATTTAAATTATTAAAATTAAATTATTCTTGAACCCTTAACATTTTCTTAATAATTCATTAATCATAATATTAGGGCTTAAATTTTCATTTTTTGTTTTTTTGTATAAAATAAATTATCAAAAGTAGGAGGTTTGTGACCTTATTTTCTATATTTAAATTTTGTACTTTAATAAAAAATTCGTAAATTACGAAAAATTTGATTGAAAAGCTTTGAAAATATGTAATTGAATTTTTGAAAAATATTCCATATCACATATAAAATTTTCATTTATCACCATTTTTTTTTTTTTTTAAATAGAATTCATATTTGATAAAAATGAACAAAATTCAAAAATATTAGAGAAAAATGCTAAATATTTTTTAGGAACTCAGAGAAAATAATAATGAAAATTTTGTAGCAACCCTGTAGAAATTAAATAGAATTTAAAATTCCGAAATAAATTGAAGTTCCAACAAATTTTAATATTTTTCATCGACAATTTTTAGGGTTTCGTGGCCCATGGCCGAAAGCCTAATAGTTTCACTTTGGCGTCCGTCTGTCCGTAGTATAAACCCCAATAGTTGACATGACCCAGTAGTTGACATGTCAATTATAGGGGCATGTTAACTATTGGGACATGTCCCTATAGTTGACATGTCAATTATAGGGGCATGTTAACTATTAGACATGTCTCTATAGTTGACATGTCTCTATAGTTGACATCTCCAAGAGCGTCCGTCTGTCCGTAGTACAAACCCCAATAGTTGACCTGTCTCAGTAAGTGACATGTTAACTAATGGGACATGTCCCAGTAGTTGACATGTCCCAATAGTTGACATGTCTCTATAGGGGCATGTCCCAGTAGTTGACATGTCTCTAATAGTTCATGTCTTAATAGTGGACATTATCGAATGGACATTTTACCTAATGTTTTTGTTTGTGAATCAAAAAAGGTAAATGATAGAAGAAAGACCTCCACTCCGCAGCCACTCTTTCTTTTTTCTTTCATTTACCTTTTTTATCAATTTTGATTTTTGCCAATTTTTGATTTTCTTTGATTGCCATTTTTAGGGTTTCGTGGCCCATGGCCGAAAGCCTTATAGTTTCACTTTGGCGTCCGCCTATCCGTAGTATATTTTGGGGCACCACAGCTCCCAAAATCAAATTTTAGGGCACAGATCCCAAATTAAAATTTTGGGGCACCACAGATCCTAAATTCAAATTTTGGGGCCCCACAGATCCCAAATTAAAATTTTGGGGCACCACAGATCCTAAATTCAAATTTTGAGGCCCCACAGATCCCAAATTCAAATTTTGGGGCACCTCAGATCCCAAATTCGAATTTTGGGGCCCCAAAGATCCCAAATTCAAATTTTAGGGCCCCACAGATCCCAAATTAAACTTTTGGGGCACCACAGATCCCAAATTCGAATTTTGTGGCACCATAGCTCCCAAATTCGAATTTTTGGGCCCCACAGATCCCAAATTCGAATTTTGGGCAAACATAGCTTCTAAAATCGAATTTTTGGGCACCACAGATCTCAAATTCAAATTTTGGGGCACCATAGCTCCTAAATTGAAATTTTAAGGCACCACAGATCCCAAATTCAAATTTTGGGGCACCATAGCTCCCAAATTCAAATTTTGGGGCCCCACAGATCCCAAATCTCCATTTACTGAATGGACATTTTCCCGAATGGACATTACATGAATGGACATTACATGTCCCATTAGTTAACATGCCCCTATAATTAACATGTCCCAGTAGTTCACCTGTATCAGTAATTGACATGTCCCAATAGTTGACATGTCCCTATAGTTGACATGTCTTAATAGTGGACATTATCGAATGGACATTTTACCTAATGTTTTTGTTTTTGAATCAAAAAAGATAAATGATAGAAGAAAGACCTCCACTCCACAGCCACTCTTTCTTTTTTCTTTCATTTACCTTTTTGTATTTTAATTTTGCCAATTTTTGATTTTCTTCGAATTTACTGTCTGGGGGAGAATTAATTTATAGAAATTAATATTTTATAATTTATAATTAATTTATAATAAAAATTTTGCTAAATAAATAAAATTTAATAGTACATAAAATTTATTAATTAAATTTTATTATTTATTTTTAAATTATTTATTTTTGATTTATTTTTTTTAATTAAAATTTAAAGCGCCACGAAACCCTAGATGTAGGCGCAATTGCGCCTAGTTCTTTTCCTATTTTTTTACACTTTTTTTATCATTCTGAATAATCAATCCATGTGGGTTTAAAAAAAAAAAGTGTTAATGATTTTAATTTTTTTAATTTAAAGGAAAAATTTTCGAAATCTTGTAAATTAAAAACAAAAGAAAAAAGACTAATTTCTTATAAGTTTGAACAAAGTTTGACTTTTAAATAATAATCAACAAACATTTGAATTTTCCTAATGTTAACAAATGAATTTTGCGATTATTATAAAAATATTTTTCCTCTCTTTATTAGATATAAGCAGAATTTCGAGAGAAAATATCAGTTAGAATATTGGAAAAAACATGGTGGAGTATTAATAATTGGCTATGACATGTTTCGAACTTTAACGGGAACTGGAAAAAGAATGAAGAAATCGATGCAAACTTCATTTTCACAATGTTTATTGGATCCAGGACCCGATGTTATTGTCTGTGATGAAGGTCATTTATTAAAAAATGAAGACACAGCTTTAAGCAAGGCGATGCGAAGAGTTAAAACTCTAAGAAGAATTGTTCTGACTGGAACTCCACTGCAGAATAATTTAGTTGAATGTAAATTTTTTTTTTTATTTTCATTTCTTTACTTTATTATTGAATTCTTACTTTTTATTGATAACATTTTTTTTTCTTTCTGTTTTCGGTATTAATTCGAAAAATTAATGACTTAATTAAACATTAATAATAATTATTATTTGCAGATCATTGTATGGTACAATTTGTGAAACCAAATCTCCTTGGTACAAAAAAAGAATTTTCCAATCGATTTGTTAATCCAATTAAAAATGGATCGACTGCCGATTCAACGCCATATGATGTTAAATTAATGAAAAAGCGCGCTTTTATTCTTCATAATTTATTAGAAGGCAGTGTTCAACGTTTTGATTATTCTGTACTCACGCCATTTTTGCCACCAAAACAGGAGTATGTCATTTCTGTGAAATTGTCACCGTTACAAATTGAACTCTATCAGTATTATCTCGACAATTTTACAGGGTAAGTAATTCTTTTTTTTTTTTTTTTGTTAAATTTTATTTATTTATAGAAAATTAATAAAACTTATTTAATTTCTAATAACAATTGTTTGATAAATAATAATAATAAAATATATTTGGAAAAATTGCTAAAGTGATTTTAGAATCACATTTTGAAATTTGTAAAAAATAAATTTTTCTTTCTCTTCAAAAAAAAAAAAAAAAAAAATAGAGGGTCAGCTAGAGGACCAAAACTTTTTGCTAATTATCATGCATTGCAACGAATTTGTACTCATCCAATTGTGATGAAAATGAATGCGGAGAAAATGGAAAAGAAAAGACTTGAAGAAGAAGATGATTCAGAAGGTTCTTTAAAAGATTTCATTGACGATGGAAGTGATTCATCTGAAAGTTCATCAGATAATAATGATAAAGATGGCAGCGATGTTCAATGTGTTGATTCCGATAAAGATGTACCAATTGCTCGTCGTGGAACACGAGCCAATCCCATTGGTAAGATTTTAAATTTTAGCTTTTTTTAAAAAAAAAAAATTTTTTCTTATAATTTAATTATTTTTTTGTCTTAACAATTTTTTTTTCAACTTTTGTACTCTTTAATTTAACAGTTAAAATTTTTGTTTATTTAGAAATTTTCTATTTCTTGTATTCGTTTTTTCTTCTCGAATTTAATTTTTCTTCTTTTAAACAAAGATGAACCCACAACGGAGGCAGAACCCGAAACAATTGAACCAAGAGAATGGTGGTCTGGTAAAATAAAACCTGAACATTTCGATGATATTCGAGTTTCAGCAAAATTGGTTCTTCTCTTTGGAATTTTAAAAGAGAGCGAAAAACTCGGCGATAAAATGTTAGTAATAATTCTCTAAAAATTCAAATTCTTCTTTTAAATTCAAAGAAAATTAATATTAAAAAAAAGTATATCTATAAAAAAATTTTTGTTTAAAGTAAAAAATAGTTTAAAATTTGATTACACTATTAAAATGAAAAAAATGAATTTTATTTCTTTCAGTCTTGTTTTTTCGCAATCACTTTATTCTCTCACTCTCATTGAGGAATTTCTCTCGCGTATGGACGAAGCGGCACAAAATAATATTGAATCGGAAAATCTTGAAAATCACACCGGAAGTTGGAGTTTGGGATTAGATTATTTTCGACTTGATGGTCAAACATCAGCGGATAATCGAGCGCAATGGTGTAAAATTTTTAATCGTCCAACTAATACAAGAGCGAGATTATTTTTGATATCAACGAGAGCTGGTGGTTTAGGTATTAATTTAACTGCAGCAAATCGTGTCATTATTTTCGATGCCAGCTGGAATCCCTCTCACGATGTGCAGAGTATTTTTAGAATATATCGGTGAGTTCCTTTTTTATTATTATTATTAAAAAATTCATTTTTTTTTCTTTTTTGCTGTCTAAAGTGAATTTTTTCTTAGCAACCTTATAATGTTTTTTTTTTTTTTTTCTAGTTTCGGCCAAAAGAAACCATGTTATATTTATCGATTCCTATCAAAGGGTACAATGGAGGAAAAAATTTACAATCGACAAGTGTCTAAATTGTCACTTGCTTGTCGTGTCATTGACGAACAACAAATTGAACGACATTTCAATAGTAGCGATCTCGCCGAATTGTATACATTTGATCCAAATCCGCCGAAAGATTCAGAAATTCTTAATTTACCAAAAGATCGTTTATTAGCGGAAATTTTCCTTAAATATAAGGATTTAGTTCACAATTATCATGAACATGATTCTCTTTTAGAAAATCAGGTTAGACAATCAATTTTTTTGTAAAAGAAAAAGTACAATTATTCAAATTTTTAATCATTGAATTAAAAAAAAGAAATGGCAAATGACGTACCTAATAATTTTTTTATTGTTTGAAAATTTGAATTCCACTTTTTTTGAATTAAGAATATAATTTGAAATAATTAACATTAATAATTAAATAAACATTTTGTTTTTCTTTCTCTATCTTCAAAAAAAAAAAAAAATAGTTGGATGAAGTATTAGACGAGGAGGAACGAAAATTAGCATGGGAGGAATATGAAAATGAAAAGAAGGGAAGACCAGTGGTACAGTTTAATCCTGTAAATCTATTTGGATTAAATCCAATGAATGCAATGAATACGTTCCATAATCAGGGAAATATAATTTCCGAAGTCGATTCATTGGCTAATATGTTAAGGAAAGATGTAAGTTGCATTTTTTTTTTTTTTTACTATTAAATTTACAATTAATTAATAATTAATAAAACAACGAAATATGAAAATGAAATAAATTTTTTTTTTCTAATCATGACAAAATTGTTTTTCTTTTTACAGTATCCTAATCGCTCTGACGAGGAATTGCGACAATTGGCACAAAATAATATACTAAATATGTATAGTAGTTTAGTGGAACGACAAGCAATGAATAGAAATCCACAACAGCAAAATCAATATCTCCCACAGGTAAAGTTTATTAAAATTTAATTCAAAATTATTAAGGCCGAATTTCATTAAATCTAAATTTTAATTTCAAAATATAATTAGTAATGCTTCAAAAATTCAATTATTTTTAATAATTTTAATACTTCTTGAAAAATTTAATTACTGAAACAAGTTTCAAATAAAAACTCTAAAATTGAATTATTGTCAGAAATTTAAAAAAAACTACAACAGTTTAAATTTGAAGAATTTAATTATTACAATTCAATTCAGTTATTTAAAATAAAATGCTTATTAACTAATTAAATTTAATTAAAATAAAAAAATCAACTTTTTTTGGAATGTAAATCGACTAAAACGACTTTTTTTTGCTCCTTAAATTCGAACAAAAAAAAAAAAAAATTCAATTTATTCCTATTTGAATCTGTTCAAATTTGAAAAAATTTAAATTTCAACTTTCAATTTTTATTGATAAACAAAAATTTTACTTTTTTTTTTCTTCAAAAATAATATAATTGTGATAAAAAAAAATTGATATTATAATTTACAGTCTTTTGCAATGCAATCGTACATTCAACAACAACAATATCAGTATCAACAACAGCAACAAATTATACGAAATATGCAAAGACAACAACAATTAAAACAACAACAGCAAGTATCGAAGATGACATCCTCCAGCAGAACTCCTGCAAGACACGCTGTAATTGATGTAAGTTTCTTTTTTTATTTAATCTTACAATTTTATTTTTATTGAAAATGTCTCATTTTATTAAAAAAAAAAAGAAAAAAAGAAAAATGTATAAAAAAAACCTTAATAAAATTTAAGGTATTGGTTCTATGAAAAAAAATTAAATAAACTTTTTAAATAATAATCTGAGGACAATTTGTCCTCACATTAAACTTATAAGAATTTATGAATTAAAAATTATCGAATTTCTAATTTTAGAGAATTTTATAAAGTAGATTTTATATTCAATTAAATTTTCATACAATTTTTATTTATCTGAATTTTTTTGTAACTGAATTTTTATTTAGCCGATTTTTTACGTAGTAGACACTCTAGTTAATCGAATTTTCATTTAACAAATATCTTCTTTAATCGAATTATAACTTATTCAAATATTTACGCAAAAATATTTTTATTTCACTGAATTGAACGGAATTTTTTATGTAACATAACTATTATTTTGATTCACAAAAAAACCGAATTTTCATGAAAGAGAATTTTTATTCTAACAATCAATAAAAAAAATTCCACTTTTTTTTAATTTGAATCTATTCAAATTTTAATTTAATTTAAATTTTAATCGATTCAAATTTCAATTAATTTTAAATTTTAATGTTAATTTCAAATGCACCTAACTTTCAATTAATTCTAATTTTTATTAGTAAAAATAAATTTATTAAATGAAATTTTAGTCAAATGCAAAATTTAATCGATAAAATATTAAAATTAACGAAATTTCAATCAATATCAAAAAACTAATTGATTTGAATATTCAAATTATTTGAATTTTTATTTGTCCAAATTTTAATTGATTTGAGTTTTTAATTTTTCGAATTTTTATTGATTTAAATTTTAATTGATTTAAGTTTCAAATTAACCAGATTTTAATTAATTTAAATTTTAAAAATTTGTGACAAAATTTTCTGTTTTATTTTTTTATTTGGTCATTTGCAATTTCGGACAAATAAAAATTTGGCGTTTCAAAAATTCTATCAAATGAAAATGAAGTTAAATGTGAATTAAAAGTTTTAGAATTTAAAAATTCGAATCACTTAAAAAGTGAAAATTCTGTTAAATAAGAATTCTGCTAAATTAGAATTTTTTTTTTTTAAATAAAAAGTAAGTTAAAGAGAAATTTGGTTAATAAAAAAATTAAATTAAATAAATATTGCCTTCGCCTTAAAAATTAAAAATATCTTTTTAACTTCAACATTTTTTTTAACTAATCGTTTATATGAAAAAATCATAAAAAAACACATTTTTCCACTTTCAGGGAAGCGTATTTTTTTTTTTTCTTTAATTATTAACGATTTCTTTTTGTTTGTTTCAGATATCGTCCCCAAACGGTCAAGAAGAATAAAAAAAAAAGAAAAATATCGTTAATATAGTTTGTTCGTATTAATTATGTCAAGTGATAATCTTTTCGTTTTTCGTTTGTTCTGTTCTTTTTTTTTTTTAGATTTTTAGATTAAAAAAAAAAATTTTTATTTATTTTTGGTATTTTGAAATAATAATCATATCTCCATGTTTATGTATAGTTTTTAAGTGTAGAGAAAATAATGGAGATATAATACTTGTTTTGATTGACAAGATTTTTGTTATGATAGAAAAATTTCAATACACAAACTTTTCAAGGTAATATAACAATACTTTTTTTTTTTTTTTTTATTACATTTTGTTCACTGATTTTTATTTTAAGGAAACTATATATTATCACCTCTCATCTTCTCAAAAAAAAAAAAAAACAAACAATAATTATATTAAACATTTAATAATAATTGTTCGCTAAGCAATAGAAATAGAACTTTTTTTTCTATACAAAAATTTGGTTTTTTTATTTAAAAAAATTTTTTTTTAACATTTCAAACATAATACAGTTAACTCTCATCCTAAAGATAAATTTTCATAAAGATAAAAAAAAAATATCGCAACATAAAACAAAAAATTCGATGAACATTTTTCTATAACGAAAAGAAATTATCTCTCGTCGTACTTATTAAATGAAAATAAATTTTTGCTCTTTGTGATAAAAACGCTATTTAAATTTTTAGAACTTAATTCTTATAAGACCTATGAAAATAAAAAAAAATTATATATATATATATTAAGGTTTGAATGTTTCTTTTTCAAATGTTAATTTAAAACTTCAAATATGTATTTATCGCACAAAAGTGACTTTGATTTTCAATAATAATTTTCATCGCTTTTTTCATATACTCTCAACATTTTTTTTTTTTTTTTTTTTAATGACATTCCTCTTCTTATTTTTAGTGTAGAAAAATATTAGTTTTTTATTTTTGGTATAAGAAAAAAAAAATTTCAATAACAAAGACAATTTATTGAAAAAAAAACCTTACAAAAATTTGTTTTTAATTTATGAGAACGTAAATAATTTTTATTTACATACAAAAAAACATACATTAATTTAAGATTTAAAAAAATAATACAAAGTAAATTGAATTCTACTGATATATATATATATATATATATATATATATAAAACATTGAGTAAAAAAAAGTCTTATGTAATTTTAATTTATTTAAAAATTAAATAATAAATTAAAATATTAAGCACAAACATACAAATAAAACATTTTTATTTTAAAGCGTGAAAAATTTACTCGCTTGATGAACAATCAGTAGAATTTTGACATAATAAACATTTTTTTTTTTTTTTTAATATGGCACTGTTTGAGTTTTGTAATTCTCTCTATTTTTAACAGAAAATTTAAAATATATATATATATATTTATTTTTTTTTTACAATCGAAAGCCCTTAATTTTGTTATTTGTATACTAAGAACAATGATTATATTCTAAAAAAAAAAAATATTCAATTAAGAAATTTATGAAAAAAAAAATACTTTTGAATAACAAATTATATTTGTTTTTTTTTTTTTTTTTTTAGAAAAGAACATAAAGAAATTGAAAAGCAATGAAAAAATTAAGAAAAGGGATAATTTTTCACTGATTAATAAATAGAAAGAGAATGACGAATAATATTGAAATTTTTTGTATCAAATTTGGAAATTAAAAAATAAAAATTGAAAACGATAAATAATTTTTTTCTTTCGAATAAATTTAATCCGACGACAATTCCATGAAGATTGGATTTTGCGTTGATTTTGGTAGACTTATTGAATTTTCCACAAGGTTTGTATTAATCCAAAGACATTGAGAATAAATTCTCGATTTTGAATTCATAAATTAATGATTTCAAGCTGACAGGTAGAAATTGCTATTTATCTGAAACCAAAGATTTTAATATTAATATTTTATATTTAATATTTAATAATATTTCATTATAAATATAACAATACCCGTGTGGAAAAAGCCACGATCTTGCCCTCAAGAGTTCGGGGCCCCCGGCGGGGGCCCATGAGGGCTGATCCATATGGCGAATGGATCGCCCTTATGATCGATTAGCAAAATTTTCTAAGTCCAAAAATCAAATATTTTTTTATCAACAAAAAATGAATGTTTCCAATGATTCAAAACAACGAAAAACGCGTTTTTAATAAAAATATATTTACACTTTTTTGAAAATTCGCCTGAGATGATTCATGATAATAATCATAAAGCATATAATTAATTATATTTTATAAATTGCATTTGATTGGAAAATATAATTTAATATCTTAACTTTAACTAAATGATGTTAAGCACTTTTCTTTGTTAGGTATTTTTGAAGTTTAAATAGCATCAAGAAGTTAGCATTCGTTTTGAAGTAGCGTGCGTAGCGTAGTTGGTAAAGCGTTAGACTCATAGTCCGTAGGTCGTAGGTTCGATTCCCCCCATGCGTTAGATTTATTTATTTCTCAGGTTTGCGTTTAATCATTAATTCTATGTATGAATTAATTGAAAAATGAAAATATCCGTTAATAGTATGCATAAATTACATATTTTTTAATTTTTTAATTAATTAATTTATTATTACTTTTAATTATATCCGACAGTTAATTAATTAGAACGTTAATTAATAAATTCAATTTGAGTAAGAATTTAATTTAAAATTGAATAATTATTAAATAAATATGTTATTTATTCATAACTTAAGCTTATTTATTATTAATTAACTTTTATTATTAATATTATTGATTAAAAAACATTATGGCAAACTTGAGTGCAAGATGAGGGCAAACGTGAGGGCCCATAAGGGCGCCCGTAGGGGCACCCTCATGGATCGCCCATGCGGGCGCCCTCATCGATGAGCATGTCGTTTCCATGAGGGGCCCCTATGGATCATCCATATGCGGCCCTCATGGCATGAGGGCGATCCATAAGGGCCCCCGCTGGGGGCCCACATCACTTTTCCACACGGGTAGTAATTTTTTGTTTATTATTTAAAAATAAAAAAATTAATTTGTCAAGAAAAAAAAATATATATATATTTGTTTTAATAAATCAAATATAAAATTTCATAAATTCAATAAAATAAAATCAAATTTAAAAAAAGAAGTTGCTTAGAATTAATTAAAATTATTTTACCAAACATTTTTTTATTTGTATTTTTATTTTTATGATTCAATGCTTTTAATATTCATTTGAAACAAATAAAAAATATCTTTGATAAATTGTTTATTTTCAATAATATAAATTAAAATATTTTAAATTTTGTTATTATTTTTGTATTCTGGATTTTGTTAATTTTTGGTGTTTTTAAATAAATTAGCCTGAGGAGGATGATAAACCACACTATCGTAACGTCGCAACTTTAAAAAATTACATAAACTTGTTTTATGTTTCTTACATGTTTCTTATATTTTCTGTAAACAAAACACTAAAAAAAATTCGTGACATCTTTTTAAAGAAAATAAAATAAAAAAACGTTAGTTTCTGTATTGTTATCTTTTTTACTCTGATGTCAAGAAATCATTGGTTAATTTTAATTTAAAAAAAAAAGAAAAATTAAGTCATAGAGACTATAAAATATAAATATATAATAAAATAAATGTTTTATCATCTAGTTCAAATTTTTTATCATAAGATTTTTCTCTTTCATAAGGAAAATTAATATTTTCTATTTATAAATTATTAAAAAAGCATTGCAAATCATGAATATAATAGAATTATAATAATATAATAGTATAATAGATAATATAATAAAAGGATATCTAACAACTGATAGGAAAAAAATTCCCTGACCTGAATTACACTAAAAAATTTTTATTTTGATCAAATAAAATTTATTTTGATACAATTAAATCATTTACCTGTCTATTATCTACTAATTTCATATGTATTTCGACCAAATAAATAATGTTCGTAAAAAATAAAATATTTAAGTGAAATAAATAAACTAATTGGGGACGTATAAATATTCTCAACATTTAATTTAAAAGAATTTTTACGGCGTCAAATCTTAAATTAACAAATTTTTATTTAGTAAAATTATATAAAGCAAATTTTCTAGTACATCGAATTTCAAATTAATAAAATTTCAATTTAACGGAATTTATGTCAAGAAAAATTGCTTAAAGAAATATTTTTTTAATAGAATTGTTATTTTAGAATTTCTATTTAACAAAATTCCTTAATTAACAAAGTTTTTATTAAAGAAAATTTTAATGCGAACTAATTCTTATTTAACAGAATTCTCATTTAAGAAAAATTCTACTTAGTTCTTTTTTTTGTCAATTTTTATAGACATAAATTTGGTTAAATTGAAATTATATTAATTTAAAATTTTTAAAAAGTATTAGAAAAAATGCTTTATAAGAGTTCTGCTAAATAGAAATTCTTTGAAATCAAATTTTAGTTAAATGTAAATTAAAATTTTTGCATAATATAAAATTCACTTTATACAATTTTGCTAAAAAGGAATTCGATAATTTAATATTCAACGGCGTAAAAATTTTTATAAATTAAATGTGGGTATTAGAATTGAAAAATAAATTATTCGTATTAATGAATAATTTACTTTATTTCAAGTTGAATCGATAAAATAAAATTGTATCAAATAATTTTTATTTATATTTTAAAAAAGCAAATATTTCACTTAAAAAAATGAATTAATTCTTATCCAATTAATTTAAGATAATATTTTTTAAAAAAATTTAAATATTTGAATTTTTTTGAAGGATTATAAATGAAAGATGATAAATTTATAGATAAAAGTTAGATTTAAAGGAGAGATTTTCCCAGTATAGTAATTAATTTTTTTTACTGTTATTTTCAATGTTTTATAAAAATTTGAATTACATACATCTAATAAATATAAACGTCTTTTAAAATTAATTTTTCACAAAACGAAAATTACTTCTAAACTAATTTTTTTCTTGAAAAATACCAAAAAAATTTTTATTTTATCAAACCGAAAACCGTCTTGTAAAATATACAAAACTTAATTTTATTCGTATTTTTCAAAGAAACTGAAATTTTAAATTTAATTAGAAAAAAAATTTTAATAAATTTTCTGATGAACAAAAAATTTCCAATCCGAGGCTTGTAATATTTTGATTCAAATTTGGATTTTTATTAAATATTATTAAATACTAGCAAAATTAAACGCGCGCAAACACGCCAAATAGAGTATTTAATTGTTTGTTATAAAGAAATTAAAGATTAATATTTTTAATAATAATTTAATTTATTAGAATATTATTACATATTAAATGATAATAATGAAAATTATATGTTTACAGGCCTCGGATTATACGACTTTTTCCGACTTTTTTCAAAAATACGACTTTTATCGACTTATTTTAATAAAATGCGACAATTTTTTTTAAATATGAAAAAAAATGTAAATAAAATACAATTTTTTAGTATAAAATGTAGATCTTCTTCAGATCTTCTTCAATTCAATTATTTAACAAATTTTGAACTAAAATGATTCTTCACTAAATTAATTATTTTTAATCATTTTAATGAAATACATCACAAATTCAATTATATCAAAATTATTTTTCAATTAAAATTTTTATGAAATTTAACAATTGTTTATAATTTTAAAAAAATATCACAATAAAATTGAATTATTTTTTTAAAATTTCAATTCAAAATATACTAAAATTCCATTATTACCCAAAATTTTAATTCGAAATCAATTAAAAATCCAATAATTATCCAAAATTTTCAATTTAAAATTTAATTATTTACCAAGTTTTCAATTTAAAATGAAATAAAATTCAATTATTTTCTAAAATTTCTATTCAAAATTAATTATCCAAATTTTCAATCAAAAATGAACTTCAATTAAATTATTATCAAAAATTACAATTAAAATTCATTTATTCCCAAAATTTTCAATTCAAAATGAACTTAAATTCAATTATTTTTAAAATTTTTAATTTAAAATCAATAAAAATTTAAATATTTTTTCAAATTTAAATTGAAATTCAATTATTTTCAAAATTTGCAATTCAAAATCAACTAAAATTCAATTATTTACCAAATTTTCAATTCAAAATCTACTAAAATTCAATAATTTTCGAAAATGTCAATTAAAATTCAACTAAAATTCAATTATTTTCCAAATTTTCAATTCAATAATTTTTGAAAATTTCAATTCAAAATCAACTAAAATTCAATTATTTTCCAAAATTTAAACTGAAATTCAATTATTTTTAAAATTTTTAATTTAAAATCAATAAAAATTCAATTATTTTTTCAAATTTAAATTGAAATTCAATTATTTTCAAAATCAACTAAAATTCAATTATTTACCAAATTTTCAATTCAAAATCTACTAAAATTCAATAATTTTCGAAAATGTCAATTCAAAATCAACTAAAATTCAATTTTTTTCCAAATTTTCAATTCAATAATTTTCGAAAATTTCAATTCAAAATCAACTAAAATTCAATTATTTTCCAAAATTTAAACTGAAATTCAATTATTTTCCAAATTTTCAATTCAAAATTAACTAATATTCAATTATTTTCCAAAATTTGAATTCAAAATTAATTGAATTTTCAATAATTTGAATTTAAAAGCATCTAAAGTTTAATTATTTCTAAAATTTTCCATCGAAATTTATTTTTTTTCAAATTTAATAATTTCAATTATAACTCTAAGGAAATTCAATTATTTTTAACTATTTTAATAATATTCTTTGAAAATTCAACTATCTGAAACCACTTTTCAATTAAAAATGATTTTCAAATTATTGTATTTTGTCCGCATTTTCTAATAAATTTTTAGTGAAATCATCTAAAATTTTAATTACAAAACAGTTAAAGTTTCAATTAATTTCAAAAATCTCAATTTTAAATCTTTGAAAATTCAATTAAATTTAAAAAATATTTTCCAAAAATTGTTTGATAAATTATTTTTAGTTCTGTAAAATTTAATAATTGTTTGAAAATTAACAATATCTTTTGAAATTTAATTATTTCTAAAAATTTCAACTTTAACCCTTCGAAAAGGATTATTATTTAAAAAAAAAAAATTTTATTTAAAAATCTAAAATATTTTTGTTAAAATAAAAAACAAATCCACTTTTTTGGAATATAAATCGACTGAAACGACTTTTTGTGTCTTTAAGTTGATTCGAGGCCTGTGTTTTTATAATTAATATTTAATAGGTATTCGTTGGCCCCTGGTACCTTAAAAATTAATTTTTAAAAATAAATTTTTTTCAAATTACTATCTTGTACGAAATTTCCTGGCGCATCTTTTTTCTCATCATAAATTTTTTGTATTTGTGTGGGGCCGTCCATAAACCACGTAGCCCAATTTTTGGCACTTTTTGACCCCCCCTCCCCCCATGTAGACCAACGTAGACTTTCGCTCTAACCCCCCCCCCTCCACTGGTAGAACGTAGTTTTTTTTTACTTATTTAAAAATGTATTTCTTTTGTATAGATAACAATTTCCAATAAAGAGAATTGAATTTAAGAACACATAAGGAATTTTAATTTTAATTTTTTATACTAATAATAATAAATAATAATAAAATAATAATAAATAAATAATAATAATAATAAATAATTTATACTAATGATTTTTTCAATAAATTAAATTCTCTTAAATATGCTTTTACACACTTTTTAATTCCTGAAGGGATTTAAATTTTATTTAACAAAAATTTCATCTGTAAGAATATTACACCTGTTTTTTAATAAGAAAAAATTACTTTTAATGAAAATTTTACGTTATATAATTTTCAAATTATATAGTATAGTATAATTAATTAATAATATTAACATTACATAACTTTTAATGTCTATTAAAAATTAATTCTAATAAAAATAAGTTTTTCTGAAACATTCTTACCAGTGAAATATGTTTGTTAAAATGAAATAATAATGTATTTACCATTTTTTTTTTGGCAGCAAAATCGACAAAGTGAAATTTATTCTAATAATTATGATAAATAAAAATATAGCTAATTAAAAATTTCAATGAATGAAAATTTAGTAAATTGTAGAATTCTTAATTAATAAAAATTTGTTTACAATATTGTTTGCATTAATTTCTTTTGATTAAGTAATATTTCTAAAAGCAGGTAATTTCGAAACACTAAAAATGCAATTTTATAATTTTCATGGCATATTATTCGTGAGACCCAATTATTTTTCTTATTTTCATCAAGTTTATAATAATCATTTTAAAATAATTTATACATATTTAATTTTACAAAAATTCTACTTTATATTCATATATCGCTCAATTCGACATTGGAATTACCCGCGCAATTTAAAAAATATCAAAATAAATTACTTAATAAATACAACTACGTAGTCATGGCTCGAACCCCTCCCCTCCCCCACGTAGTTTACCGTAGAATTTCACTGTACTTCAGCTTCGGGAATTGAATTTTCGAATTTGGAATTTTAAAGAAACTTATTCCGAAATTTGGAAACACAATTATACAACTTTGGCAAAAATGAGAAAAAGAATTGTCAAAATTTGACACGTCATAAGATTACTATTCAAAAAAAAAACAAATTATTATATAATAATTTTTATTAAATATATATAAATATTTATTAAATAATATTCGAGTTTCAGCATAAAATAGGGAAAACCTATTCATAAAAAAGGAGAGAATTTTTTTAAAAAAAGAGGAAAAATAGGGGAAACACTTTGAAGCCCAGAAATAATTAAATTTCAGAAAATATTTTATCAAAAATTTTAAAAATAATTAAATTTTAAAAGGTTTTTTTTAAATAAAATTTTGTAGAAATAATTCGAAGTTCGAAAAATTAAAAATTTTTGAACATTTTAATTGATGAAGATTTTTTTTTTATTCCTAAGAATAATTAAATTTTACAAAAATTTTTTATTTAAAAAATATTTTTAATAATTTTTTGAATAACTTGATAGAAATTATTGGTTTAAAAAAATTATTATTATTAAATTATTAAGTTGAGATTTTTTTTTTTTGTAAATAATTGTTATAGCTGATTTTGAATTGAAATTTTCGGTAATTTTATTTGTTGAAAATTATTTTTTTTTTTTTTTTTTTTTAGAAATTTCATTTATTGAATTTTTAGAAATATTTAATTAAAATAATATTTTTAGATAATTGAAGTTTTGATGAATTTTATTAAAATTTGAAAATAATTAATTTAATGAAAAATTTTAGTTAAAAATTTGTTTTCGTTTTCAAATTTTAATAGAGATACTGAAGAAAAAAACTTACCAATAACAATAATGGAAGTAGAGAGATTTTTCTTTGTTTTCAACTGATTTCCCAGTAATTTTTCATCAAGTATTTCTAACATTACGTAAGATGACATTTTTAGTTTCTCATGTGGTGATATTAATTTTTTCTCATCAATGTCGTTTAAATTCTTCCTCGACACTTCATTCAAAGTATCTTCAATTGTTGTTTCCTTTGTTTCTTCAAGTAAAGATAATTTATTTTCCAATTCATTTGATACCAATTTTTCCCTTAAAGCATTTTCTTTAATTTTCTCAATTTTATTTTCACTTTCACCCTCTGTATTTGCTAATATTATCTCATTTTCCGAATTGTCGTTAAACTCAATTAAATCTGTTTTCGCCTTTTCTTTAATTTCAGAATTTGAAAGAAATTCTCCAATTTTTCTTAATTTTGATTCACTCATGGAATTTATTTCTTCATCATTATCTGAATCAGATGGAAATTTTAATTTCATTTTTGGTGAATTATTTTCCTCCAATTCTTGAATATCAGAATCACTGTTTCTTTCATCATCCGAAATATCAATAACTGAATTAATAATATTCAATGATTTTTTTATTGTTTTAAATGCTGATGAAAAGTTTTTTAATTTCAATGACATTGATTTTTCATTCAATTTTTGAAATTGATTTTTTTGTTTCTTCATATTTTTTCTTTGTGAAAAATTGTTGTTTTGCGATAATATCTCATCGCTTTCAGTGTCGGAAGAGATTATATTTTTTTTGTATCTATTGTTTCTATGATCAATTTTTTCCGATTCCATAACAATTTTTTTATTTGTCTCATTTTCATTGATAATATTGTCCTTTTCTTTGTGGTTTTTAATTTTTTTCATAACTTTCAAAGAGGGACTACAATTTCTTGACCATGATTGATAGGTTTTATCGATTTTTTGTGAATTTTCATGAATTTTCATTTCAATTTCTTTGAGAATATTTTGTAAATGTTTTGTTATATCGAGAGCATCATTTTGACTCAAATAATTTGCATTAAGACATTTTTCTTCGCATAAATCAATTTTTGGGAATATATTCATAAATGATTTTTTTACATTTCGACAATGTATTGAAAATTTTTCTTTAAAATTTGACATTGATTTTTGTTGCATTTCATAATTTTCCTCATTATAATCAATGTCAATTTTCACTGATGGAATTTCAATATTTTCATTTAACGAAGTAAAAAGTTTTCGCTTATTTTTATTATTATTATTATTATTCTCCGTGATTTTTGTTTCATTTTTTAAAAAATCCAAATCTTCGGAGAATGATGAAGTGGGAGAAGTTTGATTTTTCTTTGGAGTTTCGTTATTTAGATTTTTTTTATATTGTAAAAGAGGAAAATTATCATTACAACTGTCTTCACTAGAGTCATCATCGCATAAATTTTTTAATAATTTAATAATTTAATATTAATATTATATATATTAATATATAATTCGAAGTGAACTTATAAAAGACAAAATGTAGAGCGCTGAAAGAAAAAGCATACATCAGCAACTAAAGTCGTGAGAAAAAAGTAACAAAGCGGGGGAAGTTCTCCACCTTAGCCAGTAACGCTGTCGCTAGACACACAGCAAACAGTTAGTCCCCTTTTTATTCTCAAGTCGGTCACATATATAATTGTCGAGAAATTTTTCTGAATACTGTAAGATTTGATAAGTCAAATAAATTTTGAACGATACATTGTGTTATATATAAAAGGGGATAAAGAAAATAGTTTTAAAACATTTCAGCCTAAAGACAGTTTGGAGTATCAAAAAAAAAATATAGAAAGAAAAAACACTTTTGGAATTTCTACTGCGGACTCACAAGCTTCAAATTTGGATTAATTATCTTCGTATCTTCTAGAAGGAACAACGAAAGAGTAGGTAAAATAACACCTCCTCCTCTCTTTTAAAATCATAAAGAAGGGAGAATTTAACCGTCTCAGAATATTCTCTATTTTTAGTATAAATTAGATTAGGAAAGTCGGATCTTCGCGGCCGACTCTAAAAAAAAAAAATACGCGAAGTGGTGACAGTCGCTGCCCTAGTTTAAAATTTTTTATATATTACAACTTTCATTTTTTTCAAAAACTATGACCAAAACCCCTTTCGAGACGACTAAAACCTAGCAACATTTATTTTATCATCGCGTTCTGAGACGTGACAGAGCCATGAAATTTTGCGTAAATACAATATTTATCTATTTTATTTATTTTGTATCATAATAAGTCTCTGGGAGCATAGAAATTCAAAAAAAAAAAAATTTAAATAAGGACCACCAATAATTATATATATATATAACTAAAACTAACTTATTGCGTAATATACTAAATCTAATTCTAAAAAAAATAAATAAATGTAAAAAAAAAAAAAACTATATGAGATTATGCCATATTTTCAAACATTGACAACAGTTTCGCTATAGTTGAACGAAAGTTAACAATAGAATATGAACAATTAATGTTCAAGTTTTACTAATATTAAAAATAAATCTTAAATTATAATCTTACTTTTTGGAATTGGTTTGCAGTTCCATCTTTTTCTTCTGTTTTTGGTTAATAAAATATTCTGTATTATTTGAACTTAATACCTATTTGACAGAACTTGAATAATCAAACAATATTTTGCCAAATTTAACTTAATTTTCTTCTTTCGTTTATATAGAACTATATACCCTTCTATATATAGAATAATTATATAATTTTTTTAGGTGAATTTTGTTCAATAGATGTAACTAAAACAAATCAATTTTTAATTTTCGTTTATCTAGACTGAAATCTTTACTTACGACAATTATCTAAATTTTTCATAGAAACATTATTCAAAAAATTCCTTATATTTTAAATATATAGTATTATAAATATATTATCTGTCTTAGGTATACTTCCTAAACATCCGCCATTCGAAATTAGTAACGCAAAACTTGAAAATATTCGTCCTTACGTTGTATTAGTAAGATGCAATCAAAATTTCGTTCTTGAAGGAATTGATCATTACTACTACGATAATTCTGATAATTCTGAAACCACATGGGATCCTATGTAAAATCCCATTCCCATATGGGAAACCACATGGGATCCCATATAAATCCTCATGGGAAATTGGGACAGGAATTGGCATAGGAAAATATCAAAAAAAGGTTCCTCATTTCCTATGTCAAATCCCACGTCAAATATCATGTTAAATACCATGTTAAATACTAATTGAGATCCTTTATCATTTTTTTGAAAAATTTTCCCATGTCATTTCCCATGTGAAATCCTTTATCATTTTTTTGAAAAATTTTCCCATGTCAAATCCTCTTTCGCCTTATCGAAAATACCCACATGGGATTCCACATGGGACACCATATGGGAATCCATATGGGAAATGGAATACGATTTCATGTGCATTCTTCTAAATGATAAAACAAATAGATTTAAGCATAGGAAATCATATAAGATTTCATAAGGATTCTGAAACTCATTAAAAAAACAAGGAGGGGGTCCTTTATGTTTATTTCATAAACATTATGCTTCCTCATTGTGTGAAGCAAAAAATTCGCTTCCTCGTGAAGGAAGCAATGAATTTGTCCAATTCAATTGATTGATTTAAAAAATTTCGAGTTAAAAATGTTTTAAATTAATTAAATTTTTTGAAAAATAAAGAAAATTTTAATTAATTTTGAGTGTAACATAAACTTTATATATACGAATCGATTCGTTTTAATGCAAGGAATACAATTATTTTATTCATCAACTTGAGTTTAAAAAAAACAAAAAATTTTTTAGCTAAAATATGAATTTTCGATTTTTCAATTTTTCAATTTTTATTAATTCTCAAATTTTAAATCAAATCTATACTTCATATATACCAACCAATTCGTTTCAATGCAGGGAATAAAATTATTTCATACATAAACATGAATTTAAATAAACACATCATTTTTTAGCTAAAATGAGAATTTTTGATTTTTTAACTTTCTTTAATTTTTTAAATTTCAATCAAATCTATACTTTATATATATCAATCGATTCATCTTGACATAAAGAAGACGATTATATTATATATTACCTTAATTTTTTCGATTTAAAATCGAAAAAAAAGACGATAAAATTTTTTTTTTTGGGTATTTTTAAAAATCCTCTCGTCATTTTTGAGAGATTAATGTGTTAAATAAGCCTACCAAATTTTATCCAAATCCATTAAAACCTGTTAAAGATATCGTGTTCACAAAAACGATCCAAACACACATACACACACACACATACATCCGGACAATTGATCAGGATCTCATATAACATGTTTCTATATAGAGGAAAATTTGTTTTCACCATTTTTAAAAAGTTTATAAACGAAAGGACTACATAGCTTCCTCCACGAGGAAGCAATATTTGTAGAAAGTAGAGGGGGTTGATATTCTGTTTCTCACAAAATTATTGTTGTCCCACTTTCATATTTACATAGCTCATGGGAAAAAACCTCAGCTTTCCAATGAAAATAAAAAAAAAGAAAAAAAAATACCCGAAGGGGTGAAAATCGAAAAATAAGGGTTGATTTTGAAAAAAGGGGTCAAATTTTTTTTTTTTTTAATTTTGTATACATTTTTGAAAAGTACGTGAAAAATGCATTAAAATTCATTATAGATAAATTAAAATCCATTAACTTTTGTCATAGTTATACGGATTTGAAAATGACAATGTTACCCTTAACGTCAAAACTTCAACCCCCTCTACTTTCTACAAATATTTTTTTAATGAGTTTATATTTTAGGGATTTATTACTATCATATAGGACAACAATTTACCAAAATATGAAGCCAATCCCAGAACATTGACTTTTTGGGCTGGGGCGATTGAAAAAGAATCTCTCATATGTATACTAAGTTTCAGTCCAATCGGTTAAAATGGATAAATTTTAGAGGGGGGAAATCTCACGTGAAATCGCATATATGTAATCCTTAAATTATAATTAAGAATATAAATTAAATATTCAATGAATATACTACTATACGAGGTGAATCAAGTTAAAAAAACAACTTTCGTAAAATCAAAAATCTCATATTGGAGAATTTGCCGCTAATTATTCGTGAAATTCCCAATTTTGCCGTTTTCGATTTTTTTAAAAAAAAACAGGGTGCATTGCTAACTTGATATCAAGTTAGCAGTGCAACCACTGTAAACGAAAGGATAAAAAAATCTGAATTCTCTTAATTTGAATCAGTGAAATTTGACTGGTGAAATAGCTAGAAGTCGGTTACTGAATCATTTAGTGAAATTTTCACTGAAAATCAGTCATATATCACTGATTTGCAGTGAAAATTTTACTAAATGAATCAGTCAATCTGTTTTACCCATTACCGATAATACAGATTGACTGATTCATTTAGTGAAATTTTCACTGGAAATCAGTGATATATGACTGATTTTCAGTGAAAATTTCACTAAATGATTCAGTAACCGACTTCTAGCTATTTCACCAGTGAAATTTCACTGATTCAAATTAAGAGAGAACACACATGATTTTGCCGTAATCAAATCCCACAATTAGTTTCTCAAAATATTTAAAAATGACACTAAACTTCACAATATTCTATCAGAATTTTCTAAAATTTTTATTCATTCATCTTCAAAATTATTTTTGTTGTCACTGGTACAACTTTTTTAATTGAAACTCGATTTTTTCGTTCTCAAGTGTTGTACGCTACACTAAACTTATGAAACCGACACGTTTTAATATAATTAGTAAGTCGAAAACGACTTATTTAAACGAAGCTGAAAAACGCAAAAAATATACGATTTTAAAAGAAATAATTTTTTAAAATTAAAAATTCTATAATTTTTTTTCTAAACAATATTTCTTGTAGTTTTCATTAATCATCAAGTTAGCAGTGCACCCTGTTTTTTTTTTTTTTTTTTAATCAAAAACGGCAAAATTGGGAATTTCACGAATAATTAGCGGCAAATTCTCCAATATGAGATTTTTGATTTTACGAAAGTTGTTTTTCTAACTTGATACACCTTACAATACGTAAAGAATAAAAAGTACAACTTTAAGTGGAGTGAGCGTCTGCAAGAGTGGGATATGTATACACAGAAAAAAACTGAACTCAGAATGAACCATGTAGAAGGCTCATTTTGATGTGCAACAAAAATGAACCAGGTTGGTGGCGCCACTGTCTATGTCGTTTAGCATTGGCTCATTTTGATTTGCAACAAAAATGAGACTAGGTTTTTTCTGTGTATCGCTAGTAAAATATAAATCTCAAGCCATCATTCTAGACGAAATTTACTTATTATTTATTTTTTTTTTCTCTATACATAAATTTGTATTTTCCCAAATCGTAAATTTATGAACGTATTTTTTCTTCCATACAGTTGCTTCAAATTAAAATTCAACAATTTCAGTTCCTGAAATAATAAAAATGATTTATTTTAATATAAATAAATGGATTTTCATGATTTGTATTATGCTCTTTATTGCAAATGTCCAATCTAGAGAAACTGTAACTAATGGAAAAGGTGGTATGTATGTTTCCCCGGTAAGAAGCGAATAATTGAAAAGAATTCAGAGTTCCAATTCTTTTAAATGGATGAATTTACGTTTTTATTCAATTCCTCGATGAAGCAAATAAAAGTAGAAAAATCTATTCTTCTTAATTGACTTGGTCAAAATTTATATTCTAAATTATACATATAACCTGATGCAGTCAATTGTAAAACATAGAAATGCCTCATTTATTCTTCACATTTTCTATTCCTCTAAATGCGCTCCAAATGGCCTGAGCTATAGTCAATTTATAAAAATAACCACATGTACATTACTTTTCAAAATTTCTTATTCCTTTCAATACGCTTTGGAAATTTTGAAGCTGGCGATTGAAAGGAATAGACATTTAAAA